TATATATATATATATATATTCCCATGGCTGACCTAAAAAAAAAAAAAAAAAGTGACCTCTTACCCCCCCCCCCCCTCCCCCCCCCCCCCCCCCTGATTATTCAACGGCTGGCTGAGTCGTTGCAAAATTTTTGGCCCGATTTATAAATGTTAACCCCCCCCCCCCCCCCCCCCTCTTGAAAAAATCCTGCGTACGCGCCTGCGTGTGTACATATGACAAATGCCGAGTGCCAGAGTGATGCAAAGTGCATTTTACTGTCATGAAGTTGGGATTGGAGACTAAAGTGTGGCCTGAAGGTTGATTATCCAAACAGTTCATTGTTTTCAAATATTAATTTGAAGAAGTTAGCATGCAATATTTCATAAATGTTTTAGACTTATGTTATGAATTAATATATATTACAACTGATAGCCCTGGTAGCCCTAGTCTAGTCTGCAAGCACAAACCCTGGTCAGTCGTAAAAGTGAGTCTGCACTATAAGACTACCGTAGGCCATGTACTGTAGCTGCTCCTTCACAACCAGGAAGTAGCTTGGCTAGACTTCTCTCAAGGCAGACTAGCCCTAGTCCGCTTTGTTGCTGTTAAAGCGTATCTGCCATAGTTTACAGGAGGGATTAGACCGCCCTGCAAGGTCGCTGGACAGGTGGTTATCTCATTAACTCAGCTCTCAGTTAACTTAAGAAAAGAGGATCATGGGGGACCAATGGTCACCGATTAGGCATTGTTTGTTATATAGAGGGCGCAAGTAGCTACAAGTAGTGCAGTTGGCCTTTAAACAAAACACACTCCCTGTGGAATCAAGGAGATCGAGAGAGGGAGAGGGGTAGAGGGGGCAGAAAGGGGGAGAGAGAGAAGGAGATAGAGAGGATCGAGGGGTTAGAGAGTGGGAACAGCTTTCCGCAACCAGCTCATGGCCGGGGAATACCCAAATACCATGGGGAATACCATGGGAATACTTGCAGCTGCCAAACGCGTTAGAGACTTTCTAAAGAAAGATAGGCTACTTCATTCACAACAGTGTAACGCCTCCCAGGCATCAACAATGTCTATGCCAATACAGCTTTAGATATTGAGCATATGTTTTGTATATAAAGAGGTGTGGCTGTCGTAACATAAAGGTTTTGGAACATAAAGCTGTCACCTATATTTTGCTCGTCTGATCCTTATTTCATCACTTCTCCAACCCGAACGTACACAGGAGCATAAATTATAGACCAGGGAGATCCCCCCTGGATCTCCCACCCATCTTAACGAATGCATAATAGCACAGGCAGGTGATCAAATAAGTACTACATCGACTCGCGTACAAAGCGAGTTGAGTGGTGTGTCTTTCACAGAACGCTGTTTAGCGGGGAACCACAACTATCACACGTACATCGCTTACAAGTTTACAACTATAGTAAACAAATATATATATATATATATCACTCTATAGAGTCTAGACTAACTGCGACATAGAATCTATACTGGTTATCAAATGCACTGACCAAGGAACGGATATCCAGTCTGGTAAGTAGAGAGTGATTGTGTATAAACAAAATTTGCAACATGAAGTACTTTTAGAAACAATTAATAAAGCTGTAGGTTTGGACGCATACAGTCCGACTAAGAATCATTAAACAGGTCATTATGTACATTGTAGACCACTTTGCCATATAGTTTTACAAACTATAGGCCCATTTTTGTAATGTCAGTCTTCTTTAGATTATTCGAGCGATTATTTTTCATGAAAGAACTGTTGAATATCTCGACAAACATTGTATTCTCAATAAACATCAATGTAGTTTCCGTAGGAATTATTCAACATGTATGGATCTTATACCTTACCAGTCTTTTTTAATAAAGTCATAGACGCCTTTGAAGCAAATGAATTTGCAATTTGAGTTTTTATAGATCTGTCAAAGGCCTTTGACACAATAATTAATCACGATATCTTACTTCTCATAACTAGTTGGTTAGAAGTGCCAAAACAAAATGTAATTGAAGTTGAAGTGCCAATTACCTGTATGTTTGATGACTGTGCTGCGAGGGAGCGTAGCGACCGAGTCGACAACGGGTGGGTTCCAGGGGGCCACCATAGGTGGTGGATTTTAGGGCTTTTTTAAAGGCCCAGATGTGGCACTTTGAACACCTTTTTTATTCCAAAATATATCAATCATAATTTCATATTGATGTGAAAAAGTTAGTACAATGCATGCCTGAGTACAATTACACTGGAAGTAAATTTGTATGTAGTTATTGTGGTGCAAAAAACACGGGAAATGCCAAAATTAACATAGTTATTGCGACATCCCTTTCGCCGACCAGTTTTTCCACTTAAAATGTCGCAATGCAGTATTGTTTTGCTCGATGTATCCCAGAAACCCGCGCGCGGACCAATCTAAAAATAGATACACGGTGTTTCCTGAGACCGGCAATGATAGATAAACATCTGCACAACATCATACATCCCAAACTTCAAGCAGATATAGCCCGAGTAAATGGTAAAATCCGTTAAATTCCCCTTTTTGTTAAGCAGACATTTTGGGCTTAACTTCGACTGCGATTTCTTGATTTTGCTGGGGTTTTAATTTTAAAATAAAAATTGTTATAATTGTTTTGTTTTTGTTCTTCTTCTTTTGTTCCTTTTTTTTTCGGGTAACAGCCGCGCGCCACCCCAAGTGACCGCAAGCGTCACGAGTGGCACGCGCGCCGCCAGTTTAGAAGGCCTGACCTAAACTTGACCTTTATGGAATACGTGGTGTAGCTCATAAATGGTTAACCGACTTTTATATGATATATGAATGATTTATAATGTATGCAGACGACACAACATATTTCACAGCGATTCAAACTTGAAGTCTTTTAAGAATACCGTATAAATGCAGGTCTTGCAAATTCAAATTGCAGGTTCAAATTTTATAAATTATCTGTAAATGTAAAGAAATGTAATTATATATATACTTTTTTAAAGGCCCACTGCACTACTTGTAGCTACTTGCGCCCTCTATATAAGAAACAATGCCTAATCGGTGACCATTGGTCCCCCATAATCCTCTTTTTCTTATATGTTAACTGAGAGCAGAGTTGATGAGATAACCACCTGTCCAGTGACCTTGCAGGGCAGTCTAATCCCCCGGCCCCCCCCCCCCCCCACTCAGTGTTATTTAGGGTACGCATATGCTCGTACCCTCTTTTTGAAAGCACCCCCTATCTGAGGACTGCCAACATTTCCGAACCCCCCTTTCGCGGGCTTTTTGCGGGCTTTTCCTGCCTTGGAGACCCCCCCTAAATCAGGAAAAATGCTCAATGTACCCCCCTAAATTCGGAATAATTTCTCAGGATTCCAAAGAGCTGAGAGAAAAAAGAAAAACACCCCCTTTTTAAAGAAATCTCCGGGTGAAAAGTCAAATACACCCCTTTTTTTACAAATCTCGGGCCGGACTTTGTCGCACGAAAAGTACCCCTTTACCGGACATTTTGGCAACACGCATGCGGTCATTCCAACCTCTGAGTGGGGGGGGGGGGGCGGGTCTAATCCCTCCTGTAAACTACGGCAGATAAGCTTTAATTGAAGAAAAAAAAACGCAGATTTAAATGATTTCGATATTGTTCTTGATAATGTCATTTTGCCGAGGGTCTAATTTCTTGTCGTTCATGGAAATACCATATTCGCGAAGTTGAAAGTAAAGTGTTCAAAAACATTTGCATTATAATAATAATAATATTTCTGCTTATATAGCGCTTAATACAACGACAATGACCGAGTTTCCTCGTGAATAAGCGAGAGGGGAGGAAGGGGGGGGGGGTAAAGAGCACTTTTTTATGAGAAAATACTTGGCGGCGAATCAGCCGGCGAATAAGCGAGGGGGGAGGAGGGGAGTAAAGAAGAGAACTAGTTATTTTTGCCCCCGCAAAAATGAAAATCGCGCTGACCGATATTTCGCTCAGTGAGGGGGGGGGGGGGGGGGGGGTGGGAGGAGGTTGTGAGAGAACTATTTTTTGTTTTCCCCCCCGCAAATGTGAAAATCGCGACGGCGGATACCATAAAAAGCAATTTCTGAAAAAGGGCACCTGAAAAGGGAAATCTCAAATCGAAAATATACAATTATTTTGACATTGGTATATACCCCCAACACGCACACAAGGATCCATAAGGATTATTCCTTTGACTGCTCTTGTTTCTACTACACATCAATTATTTCCACACTTCCTCCACCATTTTGCCATTCGATTTATGCCGTTGATTCCAATATTCTATTTACTCATCGATCCAAATCCTAATATTATTGCTGACGTTGTAAACTATAAATTACTGTCATATTGGTCATTCAAAAAAGAGCTTTGATAATAATTCACAATATTGGTTTTCGGTCATATACACTAATATATCATTTTTCAACAATAATCTTTTAGCCTACATGTGTCTGATATATTTCTTTATACTGTAATCTGGGTATTTTCATGTATCAATGACAAAAAGTGAATGGCCTGATCGATTCCGTATTGCTTCTTTCTTAATTCACAAAGAATTAAGTTCCGATATGGCATACCAGCTGCCATAAAAAAAGAATGATTTTCACATCCCCCGTTTACGAACTACATTTGCTCAAGACTTTATGTTTTTATTGAATCTATTTCGATCTTATGAAAATGTATCTCAGCCAAATTTGGGGCATAGGTTATGACTGTATGGAAAATTAAGAAGCAAAATGTAGGCCTATATAGTTGTATGCTGAAACAAACACGGATTATTATTGTATTATTGTTGCGCGAAAGGAAAATCATAGATTTGCAAATTGATTTCTGTAGCGCTAGACATAAACACATTAACTACAATTGGAAATGGTTTCCAAATTTACAGATAATCCTTTCACAAGTCATGTGTATCGCATATGCTACAATTAGACCCCCCCCCCCCCCCCCCCCCCGTCCCCCTCCACGGCCCCGAGGTCCAAGACATTACACTGAGACATTACACTGTACTCAGATACGTGATAGATTGTCGATTGCATATTTACACGTTATTAATTCCTGCCTAAATTCGTCACTTGGAAAGTCCGGGGGAAAGTCACAATCGCGTCAATTTATAGAACCCACCAACAATCAGAAGCAAACCAAACAACAACTACGATGGCGACGAGTATCAGTGACTGCATGAAAGAATGTTGTGATTTGACGAAGATTTCAACCAAGAAGTGTCAGCGGTTAAACGGTTTGAGCTATACATGCCCGCAAGAAGCTCCCGGGAGATGACGCTGCCGTTTCTGGTGTCCAGTTTGTGAGTACGTGCATGATTCCCACATCAGTATGAACAGGAGTCCTTGTAATTTTACAGAGGCGGCGTTCCAGGGAAGGGGGGGGGGGGGGGGGGGGGGGGGGAGACGCGGATCAAGGATTTCTTAGGGGGAGGCCCAAATTTGAAATTTAGTGTGCTGAAATTTGAAAATCGTGCTGGCCGATATTCTGCTCAGGGGGGGGGGGGGGGGGGGGGGGGGGGGGGGGGGGGGGAGGGGGGGGGAGGGGGGGGGGGGGGGGGGGGGTAATGAGCACTAATTTTTTTTCTTCTCTTACATTACTATAAGGGCCCCTTTCCCCTCTGATAAGTGCCCCCTTCCTTTCTTCATAGCATACACTCCTTATATTTAAAACAACTCTTGGGAGTTACTTGTTGCTTTAATTCCTCCCAAAGCTTGATTGCTTTAAAGGTTATACAGAGTTTTGGGGAAATTTTGAAAATTGGGTGGATAGTAACTCTCAGAATATGTATTTTTCAAACAGAAATAGCTTATCGGTCGATTTTAGTCAAGAAGCATTGTTACTTTTATAGCTTAATTAATATTTTGACCTTGAGAGGAGGCTAAACAACATATAGAGTTTATTATTTACAATTTCATAACTTTAGACTTCCAATATGTTCATTTGAACCAAATTCATGACCCCATACCAAAACTTTGTATTACCATTAATATAATCATGTTACTTAAAACAAATCTTTTCCATCTTATGATCTTTCACAACTAGCTTGTGCTTAAAAAACATCAGGATTTGTTTATTTTATTTATATATGTTTTTTCTTTCGCACTGTGACCTCACATATCTGAAAATTTGTGCTTGTTTCGCTCGCAAATTAATATTCAGACCATTATACGTACTACCCAAATGCAAGTATGATGCTTAAAGGAAAATCTCACCCAAAATCCCAAATAGACAACTACTCAATATTTTGAGATCCTGATTCCTGACAGGAAACTGGAAGAAACCACAGTTGACTTCAAGATGATGTTATGAATATTCAGAACTTTAAGTCACAGGACTGGACTCTGTATTCATTAAAAGGAAACTTGATTCAAAAGAAATAGTATTTGTATATATGAATATGTTATTCAAAGCATGCCACATGTCCCCCCCCCCCCCTTCCCGAGTTTTCTACATAACACTCCGATACGATGATTAAACGTTGATTATAACCTGTTAAATTCCTGCCAGAAATCTGTCAAGTCACAATCCTTCACTTAGAACCCACAAATAATCAGAAACAGACCAAACAACCATTACAAATGTGTTAGATCATGATCTTTATTGAAACAAAGATATAGATTTATTTCAACGGTTGTAACTCTTCTAGTGACAGATGCATGATGCCCTAATTTGGATCTTGGGGGAATGGACCTGTCACTTTGAAGCTGCAGCATGTCGTACAACAAAAGATTTTGCAATTTAGTGATGATGAAAGGGAGAGATGTAACTTTGGAATTATCATTATAGTTGGTGGAGTAACATATCTTATCTTTTATGTTTTGACCCATGCTTTTTGGGGCACCAATATTTTGGTCTCATTAGTTTGATGAAATCATTCATGGACAATTATGAATGTGCGAGGATGAGAGGGCAATGATATTACCAGTTTTTTTTTTGTTAATGTGTTTTTATTACCAGTTCTCAAATACATATACTCCTTTAAAATTCATATGAAATATACACTGTACAAGACGTTCACAAGTTAATAAATAACATTCATACATTTTTATCACACAAGTTGTGGAATTGCTAATTTGTGAGACAGTATATAAAGAAGAATATATTATTTATTCTGATTTATGATGGTTTCAGGGCCCATGATTTGTATTATTTTTATCCTGATATTGGGAACATATCCTTTTCAAAATTTTAATTCAGCTTCAGTCAAACTGTTGGAGGTCAGAGTTTTCTACTGTTATATTACACATGATTTTTTTGTCTCTTACCAGTTATCAAGCAGACGTACATCCCAATGAGCCGATGTTTACACATGTGCACAAGCCAATGGAGGTAAGCTCTAACTCATTTCTTTACCTCAGTTTTCCTTTTTTTTTCTCTCTCTCTCTGTCTACTGTGACTTATTGTAGCAAAACAATTGCCATCTTTGCAGTAGAATCACTCTGTCAAATTTGAAGTTGGTGCACGTACATGCTAGTTCTTAAAAATTATATATATATATTTTTTAGGCGTTCATTCTATTCAGGAGGAGGAGGCTTCATGTCATGATTTAGTGAGTTTGTTCATGTATCGAATACTCGTTATTAGCAAGAGGGTATGATAGTTTTCATTTTTTTTATTTTCATATTTCTCATGTTACATATACATTTGATGGTTTATGCATAATTTTAGTTATATGGGTTGCTCTAGGGCAGTATTTTTAAAAATTAAGATGTGATATTTTTATTTTATGTTAGGTAAATGATTTGTCTTTTAACTCTTCACGAACACAACCAGCTTGCCATAGACATTAACCAACAAATCGTCCTAATTTTGATTTGTTTTGACATTGTTTACTAACAAAAGATAACATCTTTTACAAATACTACCCTGATCTATTATCAGCTTTAATATTTGAAGGTAATACAAAGTTATGGTGTAGGGTCATGAATTTGGTTCAAATGAACATATTGGAAGCATATACGGTATGCGATTTTACAATATTCAATGACCATTGTAGCGGTTGAAATTGAGTCTAAAGGGATGAAATTGTATATAATAAACTCTTTATGTTGTATACATGTAGCTCCCTCTCAAGACTGAAATTACTTTAGCTTTAAAACAATGTTTCTTGAATACAATCGACCGATTTACTATTCACGTTTGCGAATGATTTAGAACTACAATGGAATGACCTTAAGCGCTATTTATACCAGTACATTTTTACTATTCAATTTCTTGAAAGCAGAAGTGTTTTGGAGGTTTAATTTTCTAGTGCTTTTAATACATCTACAGCGTTACCTTTGCATTACCTTTAAGGTCCATCTGTTTTGTTTTGTTTGTTTTTTGGTTGGGGGAGGCAGAAGGATGTTAATTGTTGAGTATAATGAAATGAGTTCAAACCCTTCAGGTACCAACAGATCTATATTGGGCCCATTAAAGATTTTGCACCCAATATTTGTATGCAACCAATATAAGCCAACACAGATGGTCTGTAAGGGTTTTACCTGGAATCGGGCCGAAAATTTCGCAACGACTCAGCCGACCGCTGAATAAGCAGGGGGGAAGAGGACACTTTTTTTTTTTTTGGTCCCAAAAAAATTGCAAAGACTCAGCTGACTGCTGAATAAGCGGGGGGGGGGGGGGGGGGGGGGGGGTAAGGTCACCTTTTTTTTATCAGCCATGGGAATAGTTTGTTTTGTTTTTTAATTAAAAAAAAAAAATCCAAAGGGGGGGGGGGGGAGGGTTTAGGGGAATTTGTTTTTTTTGTTTGTTTTTTTTTGGGGGGGGGGGTTTAGGGGAGCTTTTTTTTTGGGGGGGGGAGGGTTTACACACATAAAAATACCAAAGGGGGGATTTGGTAGTTTTGGGAGTTCTTTTTTTTGTTTTGGGAGTTTATTTTGGGGGGGGGGGGTTTAGGGGAGTTTTTTTTTTTTTTTTTTTTTTTTTTGGGGGGGGGGGTTTACCAAAATACCAAAGGGGGGATTTAACCACCCAACCCCCCCCCCCCCCCCCCCCTGTGTACGCGCCTGCCTGGGTCCCACTTGGGTAAGTAAGGCATGTGTCCCACATCAGTCCAATAAGATTTTGCACTTAAACTTTGTATGGAATCCATATGGCCCATCTCAACCTGGGCCCTATATGGGGAAATTGTTAGTAATAAATGGGCAAAATATGGGCTATCCCATATGGACATTATCTGTGGGTATCTTTCTATATGGGTCCCACATGGACATGGGCTCCATAAGATTTTGCACCCAAGATTTGTATGGGACCCATATGGGCCAACTCTGATGGCCTATATGGGTTTTAACCTGGGCCCCATATGGGCAAAATATTGGCTATCACATACATGTATGTATGGGTATTTTCTATGGGTTCCTAGATATGTCTTGTAATGAAGTGTTGTTTGTCTGTATTACTTAATACAAATAACACATGAACTTAGGTTTGAATCCAGCACAGCATGGTTGTACTTGATCAGGTATCACATCAACACCGGTGTTGGAGCTTCCTGGAGTTAGTATTGTAGTGTTTTGATAACCTTAGTTTAGACGCACATAAGAACGCTGGAAACGGATAGTAGTATTGATATGTGAGTCGTTTATTCTGGTTCCTTTTGCGATACCTTTCATCCCGATATCGATACTAACATAATACCACATCTCCCTTTTTACGATGATGTATTATAAAACAGAGTTCAGTTTCTTGAGTTCAAATGTTCCAAAGTCCTTTGATTTCGAGTGGATTCTATTTTTATTCTATTTGCAAATAATCCCAAAAGTAATCCCAATTTGTTTGTCCAGCCCTCTTGGCAGTACCTTTTCAAGGCAATACAGTCATGGTCTGCCTGTTGTTCCAGCTTGATTTCTTGAAGCCTTTTCTCTGTTGCTGGAATGTCGCTCATGACCATGTCTACAAAGGCTTTTGTGTCCTGCTGTAGAAATTCGTCGCTGTTGGTTAGACCCGTTACAGGTGCACGTGACAGTGTATCGGCTGTGAACAGATCTTTCCCCGGAACATGGACTATGCTGTAGCTGAATTTCATTAACCGCATTCGGAATCTTTGGATCCTTGCAGGCAGATCTGCGATGTCCTTGCTTCCAAGGAGTGGGACGAGTGGTTTGTGATCTGTCTCAATGACAAATTCGGTCCCCATCAGATAGTGCGAGAACTTTTCACATGCCCAAGTTGCTGCAAGACTCTCCTTTTCTATTTGAGCATACCTTTGCTCTGTAGTGGTCATTGTGCATGAGGCATATGCTACAGGTTGCCAGATGGCATTCTGGTCCTCGGATGCTGCTTTCTGCAAGAGAACTGCTCCTAGTCCATAGGATGACGCATCTGCAGACACCTTCTTTGCAGCTTTCACATCATAGTGTGCTAGCACTGGACTGTTAATGAGTGCTAGCTTGAGGTCGTCCAATGCTTTTTGTTGGTTCTGGTCCCAGTGCCAAGCATTTTTCTTGCCAAGCAGCTCACGCAGTGGTTGTGTCTTGTCTGCAAGATCAGGAATTAATTTTCCTAGCTGGTTCACCATGCCAAGAATTCTGTGAACCTCACTGATATTCCTCGGTGGCTCCATTTCTGAGATGGCTTTGACTTTCTCCGGGTCGGCTCGTACACCGCTCTCGTCAATGATGTGTCCTAGGAATTTCATACTTTGTCGGGACAGTTCACATTTTTCGACGTTGAGTGTCACCCCTACTGCCTCAATGCGTTTCATGACTGCATGAAGTCTCCCATCATGGACAGCAGCTGTAGGTCCATGAATAAGGATCATCCATCAGACAAACAACTCCTTCTAGTCCTTTGAGGATCTGGGACATTCTTCGTTGGAAGTGTTCAGGTGCTGACGATATACCAAACGGCAGGCGGTTGAAGTGATACCTCCCAAATGGCGTCAAAAATGTTGTCAGTTTGGCTGATTTAGGCGATAGAGGAATCTGCCAAAATCCTGAATTGGCATCTAGCTTCAAAAAGACTTTCGATCCTGCGAGTTGTGCTAGTGTGTCATCGACTGGTGGCAGTGGGTGAACTTCCCTCTTCACGCTTTTGTTTAGCTGTGTCAGATCCACGCAGATACGGACTTTACCATTCGGTTTTGGTACAACTACCATGCCAGCACACCACTCAGTTGGCTCACTGATTTTGGAGATTACTCCCATCTGCTCCATCCTGACAATCTCGTCCTTGACTTTGCCCATGAGTGGAAGCGGAACTCTCCTCGGGCTGTAGATGGCAAACGGGTTTGCATCCTTTTCGAGCTCGATGGTGTAGGACTCTTCCATCACTCCAAGCCCTTCGAACATCTTTGGATACTCTCCCTGAAATGCATGTATGTCATATACTCTTTTAATGAGGCACAGGGACTCACTTGCAGATCTGCTCAGGAGATTGTCTTCCAAGTCTTTCACAACATAAATGTCTTCACTGCAGGTGCGTTTGTGTGTACTGACTCTTGCCTGAAACACACCGCACACATCCAGTGTGAATTTTCCTGGAGAGGAAGAGGAATGTTGAACAATTCACTGAATGTCTCTTCTCGAATCACTTTGATGTCTGCTCCTGAATCTACTTTCATGTTCACCGGCACTCCATTCATGTATACAGTGATTTTCCACGGACTGGAATCTTTCGTCTTGTTGACTGCTCCCAGGAAGGCACAGTCTTCATGCTCTTTGGTTACTTCAGACACATGCATAAGCCTGCATTGAGCGGAATAATGTCCTATTTTGTCGCACTTAAAGCATTTTGCATCTTTCGCAGGGCAGTCCTCCCTCTTGTGTCCAGGTGAATTCCCACAGCAACCACACGGTTTCACACTCGTACTCTGCTTGGAATTACGATTCTGCGTTTGCCTTTTCTGGTACTCATTGTTGCCTCTCTTTGAATAGGACTTTAGAGCATCGAGATTGGCATGATCCTCGTGAAACAATTCTGACTGCTGCTTCTTGATAGTTTCTGACTGCCTAGCGTGTTCGACAGCCTTTTGCAATGTCAAACCCTCATCCAGTTGTAGTTTCTCTGAGAGCTTTCGATCAAGAAGTCCTACCACAATCCTATCCCGGATCATTTCCTCATTGAGAATACCATACTTGCAATGCTTACTGAGGCAATGTAAATCAGTGATGAAACTGTCCACAGACTCACCTGGCTTTTGTTTCCGTTGGTTGAACTTGGCCCGTTCAAAGATAACATTGTGTTTCCTTACGAAGTGGTCATCAAACTTTGTCCTCACAGCTTCAAACTCTTTTAGCTGCTCCTCGGTGAGCGAGAATGACGTCAAAATGTCATCCGTCTGATCTCCCATTGTGTAGATCAATGTATTCACCTGAGACTGCTCATCAGACTTGGAAGTTGTGAAGCTTGTCTAAAACGTTCAAATCTACGAATCCACTTTGGCCAATCTTGAGGTGTAGTGAAGTCAAATGGCTCTGGTGGGGCGATCTGATAGGTTGGCTTTGTATTTCCTGTCGCCATTGTGCAAAATTAACACTTCCTAGCACGTACGGTAGAGCGTTCAAAACTGCTTAAACTGACTATGCAAACACAGAAATGTATAGATGGGACTGACCTTACAGTTTTCTCGGGAACTGTCGTGAATTTCGACGTCAAAACTCCCTTTTACAGCTATCTGTAGATCAATGTCCTTCTCTCAGGAAATATCAAAGATTATCCATTATTCTGACACCATGTAGTGTTTTGATAACCTTAGTTTAGACGCACATAAGAACGCTGGAAACGGATAGTAGTATTGATATGTGAGTCGTTTATTCTGGTTCCTTTTGCGATACCTTTCATCCCGATATCGATACTAACATAATACCACAAGTATTACATGTGAAAGGTCCAATATATCACATCCCCTTTACAGCAAAATAAACTGAGTCCATAATGTCCAACTTTGCTTTCAAAGGAGTTGGGCAGATCATGGGTAGTGTCAATGCACATAACCACAATTAAACCAGATTTTAACTAAATAGCAGTAGATTACGCCAGAAAACAAAGGTTAAAGACATCTTGGAGAAAGTCAGGGAATCAAAGTGGAGATGGGCTGGGCATGTAGCAAGACTTCAGGACAATAGATGGACAAATCGTTTAACAGAATGGCAACCAAGGATGGGAAAGAGAAGAAGAGGAAGGCAGAAGAGAAGATGGAGAGATGACCTAACATCATACATGGGAACGGCCGCTTGGACTAGGACAGCTAGAGACAGAAGAGAATTGAAATGTTATGAGGAGGGCTTTGTCCAACGTACGTCTGGATGAACTATAGCCTGATAGATAGATAGATAGTAGATTTACATTTCTTTAATCTAATTTAAGCTTATCAGGCTTCTTGATAAGACAACCACTGCGGTTGGTCTACTGGTGGGTCACTTCAAGAGGTGGGTCACCACAGCGGGTTGAGGCTGGAGGATGGTCGATATATAGTAGATGGGATCATCATCTCTTCACGTGAAGGAGGATCAGGTGATGCTGTCTGCATTATTTCCTCGTCACAATGTACATGCCCAGGCTGAACATCAGCAAGGTGGCGTCTGTTTCTGCTTACCACACTTTCTTTAGGCATCTCAACGATTTATGATCTAGGCTCAAATTGCTCGCAAACAGTGGCTGATAGCCAGTGTTCTGATGTCTGATTCTGTACTGACAAGCTGTACTGGTGAGAGTGGTGGTAAGTTATGGCTGACATGTCATGATGATAGTTTCTGGCTCTGTTGTCGATGCTGCATACAATATCATGACCATGAGAGTTGTTGCAGACTCAAGTTGGTATTTGGGAGTGGCACAGATACAAAGAAGAGGTGAATTGTAGGTGAATTGGGCACCTCCTGGGCACATGGACAACTGGCTGGATCAAGTACATATATGATACTCCCTGGGGAAGTTGCCAAATTCTCAAGCTGGCTGGATATATATACTGCAGAGCTACCAAGTGTCATGCATTATGCTTTTACGTCACTTATTTCGAGGGTCTGAAAACGCTCTCACGCACGACGCGCGCGCCATTTCGAAAAAAACGCTATACGTACGTTATACCCTTGCCCGCGCACTCGTGCACCGAGTCATGAAAGTGTCACGCATAGCTGATCTTTGAACTTGGCGTATCTGATACTGCCTTACCAGGTCATCGGTGGAGCGTATCAGTGCAGTACAATAGATCTACCTGGAAAACAATAGAAAAGTCTTCTCATGTTTATATATTAGAGTGTGTGGTTGCTATATCTTACCTGACTGCTTGTTAGTAAGCAACCAGAGGACCGACTGCTTAGGTTCTCTCCGAGGGACCTGGTAATGATAATTAATGCCTTACCAAAGGGTATACTAGCGCATCGACTTGGTTTCGAACCTGGGTTGCCGGAATACGAGACCATTGCTCTACCGACTGAGCTATCGCGCCTCCTTATGGGAATTACATTATTACATGATTTGAGTAACAAAACCTGCTTTGCAATCAATATTCTAACACTTTTGATAAGAAATCAAACAGTGTGTAGTTGGAATATCTGTACATGTCAATTTCTTTGGATATGAACTACTCTCTTAATTTCTAGGATTTATTTTTAAGTCCAAAGAATTTATTTTTTAAATCCAAGGGCGACTGTAATCAGTGACAAAACACTTGGATTTAAAATAAGTCTAAGCTAAGACTTAAAATTTTAAGTCCCTGAAAAGGTTTAAAATTTAAGTCAATTGGATTTATATGTCAAGTCTTTTAATATTTACTTTAAAGGGGCATGTTCCCCGTATTCCAGAGGGCGTTCAAAATACGTACCCGTTGGCGGACGGTGCTAGCTGCCTATTGACACCAACAGAATACGGCTCTTACGCAGATGGCATGTTCCGAATGCCCGCACAATGCCGATTATCGCATACATGTGCCGAAGTAATACCAATCGCAGTTCGGCTCTAAGATTCGGCTGCTGTTTCCACCCACTTTCATGACGTCACAATCGGCAACGATCAGCTGGCTTGGCGAAGGCAGGCGGCAGGCCGTGCATACTTTGATTGACAGCTGTATGCAAATTAGAAGTCGATCTTCAGAACCAAGATGGCGATGACTAGAGCAGCGATAACTACACTGGCGGGAACGTGCCCCTTTAAACCTTTCTTGGATTCATTTAAAAAATAAGTCTAAGCTAAGACTTAAAATTTTAAGTCTCTGAAAGATTTAAAGTTTAAGTCAATTGTTTTTATATTTCAAGTCTTTTAGATTTACTGGTCTAGCTGAGCCATTAGAACCATTTGGTAAAACTTCCAACCAGTTGAACGGCAACAACACTTCAATACTGGTACGTCTGTATTTTCAATGTAAAGGCATCGGTAATAAGTAGACTTGTACATAATTTAATTAATCAAATTTTTTTCATATACTTGTATTTTATTGAAATTATTTTAGTTCATAGTTAATGTTTCCCTTATTCATGTTTAATTAAATGTAATTCATACGAAGTAGCGAAATGTCCTAATAACTGGTAATTTATATTTGTAGTATTTTCGAAATGAATTGCATATACCTAAATCATCAGTAATTAAGAAATATGCTGTAAATTCAGATAAATTGTTAAAAAAACATAGATCTGCACGCACCCCATATTCAATATGCAAATTAATTGGTGTCGGCTGGTTCAACTGGAAATATGCCAACAGTCAGTCATCAACTGGTGCAACTGGAAATATGCACATCTGATTGGCGAGAAGTTTAAGTCTCTCCAAGATTTATATCTAGAAGCTGGTTTCGATAAAACTTTTAGTCAAATATCCCAATTTATTAAGTCTTAAAGACTTGAAATATTTTAAGTCTCAAAAATGGATTTAAAATTTAAGTCCTAGAAATTAAGAGAGTACCAAATGCAATATAACAAAAGGAGTATTCCAAACCTTTACCACTAAACTTCATTCGGTGTCCAGTGAGTCCCTAGATGTACTATGATTTCATAATTACCCTTTTTTTCTGCAGGATAGCAACGTTGCTGAGTTGCTGGAGGAGGGCGCTGTAGTGATCGCACAATCCCTCTTCGAGAAAGGTCAACACCTTGTGGCGCTATCATACTTGGCCAGAGCAAAAACACCAAACGCTCTCTTCGCGAAAGCAATGGTATGTTTGCATTCTCATCATTTTTAATATTATTCAATTTAAATAATGTTTTTGGTTGGTCATATTGTATATGAACCAAGTTTGTATTTTAAAAGGAATTGAAACATATGTCAACCGATGAAAACTGAGTGTTTGGCCCTATACATGTACCTTCCCCTTTCCATGTTTCTTACCATTCGTATTTCAAGAAAATGGCACCAGTATAATAACTAGAACTGCAATCGCATTTGAACAATGTGCATGCATTGACACCGATGTTTTTACTTAACAGAAGAAAGAGCTTCTCTCGGGACTATCCAAATCAATTCATTAGAAGTCTGTAGCATCTAGAAAAGTGTAGATATAGGTAGACAGAAAGAAAGGCTTCAAAATCGCTTAAAAAGACAAAACGGCACTTGGACGGTCACGCAAGAGTGTTTTCGGACCTTCATAGGATAGGATGCTAGAGACTATGACTATGAAATTTGAAAGGAATCAGGATAAAGGAAGGGACCTAGATAGGGATCACAAGCGCTACATGCAAAACGAATGGGATTTTGGGGAAGAAGAAGAAGAATGAGTAGAATTCAGAACAAGAACAAGATATTGACAAAAGTCGTCAATGCAATAACAGTGTATTGAAAAAAAATGGAGCAAAAATATTGAGTACCATATAATTCTTGCTCCATGAATTTGACCTACTAGATGACAAAGCACATGCGTGTGTCACAAATATCTTAATTCCCTTATACCTGGGCAATTCCACGGTAACGGAAGGACACTCAGACAAGATTTTTGAACTTCAGGTTCATACTAAAAGAACTGTTTTATTAGTATAAGATGTGAAACAGTACAGATATAATACCTATATAAGTGCCTTTAATTCTCCCCAAAAAAATTGTCATTATAGTTAAGTAGTTTAAGAATGTGCATATTAATTATCTCGGTAACGGAAGGACATAAAAATGGACATGGTTTTTCCAGTTAATTAGTGTTTATCCAAACTTTGTGAAGTTGATGAAGCTTTCCACTTGACTGAAACACATTTTGTTCCCCATAGTTTAATACATACTAATAAAACATTTCTTTTAGTATGAACCTGAAGTTCAAAAATCTTGTCTGAGTGTCCTTCCGTTACCGTGGAATTGCCCACCTGCATCTTCAATCAATTACATGTACCAAGGAGTTGCGTACGGTCCTGCGCACGTGTTAATCATCATTAGGGCATCTTATTCATATTTTTTCATTACATTCTCATTAATTGCTGTGAAACTTTTGTATGTTAGTGGTACCAGACACGATTAGCATTAAATGCTATTTTCTGGTCCCATTTATCCTTTCAATGTTAGCCATTCACATTTGATTGTTATATTGATGTATAACGGAAGGGACCTAGATAGGGATCACAAGCGCTACATGCAAAACGAATGGGATTTGGGGGAAGAAGAAGAAGAGTAAGAAGAATTCAGAACAAGAACAAGACATTGACAAAAGTCGTCAATGCAATAACATTTATCCTTTCAATGTTAGCCATTCACATTTGATTGTTATATTGATGTACTTTTTGTTTGGATAATAATAAAACTTCAAACTCAAACTCAAACTCTTCAAACTTATCAAAATGCAAATTTTTGTCTTTGCTTTGGATTTGATGTAGATGCTCCATGTGTTGGCATCTATGGAGACAGAGGGTAAGCCACTTGATGAGATCACAGTAGACACACTGAAGAAGCAAGGAGATTTCTTGGACCAGTCCAAACACACTCTCTTCCTTACAATGGAGAGCATAGCTAGGGAACAAACGAATGTGAGTGTCAAAATGCTTAAATTATTATAATGATGATAATTATGATAATCATTTTCATCATCATAATCATTATCTTAATTGTTATCATAATAATAACATCAACAACAAAAACATCAAAAACAACAATAATATATTTATAGAGAGCAGAAGTCACCTTCTTCATTCCTCCTTCTTTTCTCCTTTTTTACTCCTTTTTTACTTCTTTTTTTACTCCTTTTTTACTCCTTTTTTTTTACTCCTTTCTTCTCTCTTCTCATTCTTGTATCCTTGTTTATCTCCTTTTCTCCATCTCCAGCCGCTCCATGAGATAATCCAGACTCTCCTGGAGGAGATCGAGGCGGAGCAAGCCTCTATCCTGGAGCAGATATCTGCCCTAGAGGCCAACAACAACCCAGACATCTCCAACCTTTCTTCCATCAGACACAGCTCCATCATTGTAGAGAGCACCAGTAGCTCCCGCCGTAACAGGCCCTTAAATGGCTACAAATGGCTATTCAGGGATGTGATGCAGATAGAGAACAGGACCCTGTCACAGTCTCAGCACCCTGAACAAGTAAGATGAAAGACAAGAATTCTATGTATCATGATATCTTCATGACTCAAAGCACACTCAGTTTCACCTCGGGGACAATCTCACGTGACGATACTCGCCATTCAGGGAGTTCATAAAGAGAGAACTATATCTTAGTCTCAGTATGCTGAACAGTTAAATTTAAGTCAAAGTTCACTAATTTCATTCTATAAAAAAGCACTGAAGTAATTCCCAATAGTGTATACATTCTTACAATCTATTAATGTGAGATAACGACTAGACTTTCTTATTCATGCAGAGCTTATTGTTATGGTTAGTCTTAACTATGTCTCCAATAATTTTTAACATAGGAAAGATGTTACATGTATACTTATGTGTATACATATGTATGAGTTTAACCAAAACATTTGTCCTACACTTGTTTTGATAATAAGTGTTGAAGGTTTGATCTAATTGTGAGGAGAGTTATCAGGTGCATACGTCTACATAAGATGAGTGATTGATAGCAGTTAAAAGAAGATAAATTGAAACAAAGGCTTAAAGTTAATGATTTTGAGGGCTTATTAAACGGATTGCAATTTAAGGTGTTGATGGGGCATTTCACCCCAAACATGCATGTCGGTGCTGGAGTTGAAATACAGGACTTAAATGTAAAACAGATGAAAATTCTATGATTATTCTGTAACAGTTCTGTTCATGTTATGTCATACAAGCCGGTAATTCTAGCAGAAAGCTTTGTGATGTTACCTGTATCTATATCACCTGCCCTACAAATATTCCAGTGGAAAAGAACCAATTTTTATTTTTAAAAAATCAATATTTCTTACTCCTTCCACATCCTAGCTGTGTCCTGTCCCGAGCCGTTGTTATCTGGCAGCCCTGAAACTGTCTCACTCACATCTCCTTGAGCAGAATCAAAGACTGATAAAGAGAGAAGATAAGATCATTGAATCAAACGCTGAACTCAAGAAATCTTACGCTGAGCTCACGGAACAAGTCCTTCAACTCACCGTAAGTTTCACTATGTTGCTTTAGCATTTGATACCTAGTTTATTAAACAATGCTCGTAATTGTTAATATTTTTGGACCAGCTTTTGAAGTCACCTTTCTCCTGACTGTAACAATCACCACATCGAATTTTTTTTTGGCTTGCAAATGGGACAGAAAGTAAACAGAAAGTAAACAGAAAAGTGCTTTTTACACTTTGACCTATACCTAACTGTGATCTACAGTCAGATTACTTATCCACTCGACCACAAAACCACACTACCATATGATTTCAAATCCATAGAAAGGCCTTCAAGAGATCAAGCTTCAACAAGCCGATTAGGGCTCTCAACCAGGCCCCCGTTGCACCAGCCCCTTCTTTAACAGCCCCCTCTGCACCAGGCTCCGCTGCACCAGCTCACGCTACATCTGCTTGTGCCACGCTAAACGACCCCTTTTCACCATACCATATGATTTCAAATCTACAGAAAGACCTTCAAGAGATCAAGCTTCAAAAAGCCGAAGCTCACAACCAGGCCCCCACTGCATCGACCCCCACTGCACCAGCCCCTTCCATACCAGCTCGTGCCAAACCAGCCAGCCATAGTGTGCCTGGGACACCATCGCCAGCCCCCCAAGCCACTTCATCCCCTCAGCTGCCCCAGCAAGCTCCCCAGCAAGCACCCCAGCAACCCCCTCAGCAGCCTCAGCACCCGCTGGCTTCCAGACAAAGTAAGTTCCTGCTGGTGTATTTTCTCCCTGTTTCTGTTTGCAAAAATTCCTCCTAGATATATTCTGCAGCGAGATTTTTGTGGGATTTTGTGAGATTTTGTGGGATTTTGTGGGATTTTGGATTTTTTGTGAGATTTTTTGTGGGATTTTGTAGGATTTTTTTGTGGGCCCACAAAATGGGTATATATACAGTGAAACCTGCTTTAGTAACCCACCTGTATGTAAAGACTACCTGTCTATAAAGAGTTGAAGACCAAATTTTTTTGTTTCCATTGACAATCTTTTCTGATAGAAACCTGTACTAGAGGGACTTGTACATAAAGACCACCTGCTTATAGAGACCAATTTTTTTGTGCACCCTTGAGTGGTCTTTATATTCAACTAAATTGGTTTCTGATCGATCAGATTTTAATGAAATTTGAAATGAAGGTACATGATATCAAAATGCAGGCTGAGTTCGATTTTGGAGTACTTAGGTCAAAGGTCGAAGGTCATAGCTCATTAAATATGTGAAAAAATACACATCTGGTTTCAGATCGATAACTTTAGTAATGTTTGACGGATTTTAATGAAATTTGTTGTGAAGGTTCATGTTATCAAAACACAGGTTAAGTTCGATTTTGGAGTATGTAGGTCAAAGGTCAAAGGTCATAGCTCATTAAATATGCGAAAAAATACATATCTGGTTTCCGATCGATAACTTTAGTAATGTTTGACGGATTTTAATGAAATTTGATATGACCTAATAAACAGAACACTAAAAAATAACCTCTTTTGGGAGTGTATTTTAAGTGATTTTAAAGTATGGTGCCTTTTTAACTAGATTTAAACATCATCAACACGTGCCTTCATTTAAACAAAAAAGGTACTCCTGTTTACGTTTTCATCTAACCTAATAACAACCAATTTATCATGCGACCGGAGTAACGTGATTCCACTTACCTCTGTAAATCAAGTGTTTATGACCAAATAACCACTTGACCAAGCAACAAGTTTTTTATCCGTTAACCGATGGTGGTGATAAATAAGTAATTATTTGGTCTTTTAAGCACCTTTATCGATTGGTTTCACAGGTTATCCAAGGTTGATGGTAATAATCACGTTACTTACACCGGCTAATCATCTTATTGTTCTATCCGTGAATCTCTAGTTGTATTAAATTAGTAATTTTGAGGTGTCTTACACACCTCTTTTGAATGGTTTGAAAGTACCATCACTTTCTTGGTGATGATCACGTGGCTCAAGCTAATGACTAATCTAAGTTGTGAATCCGTGGTATTTAGGTGTGAAAAATTAGTAATTATTAGTTGTCTTAAAACACCTTTTTAAATGGTAGCCAAGGTTGCCATAAGTTCTGCGGTAATGATCTTGTGACTCAAACGGATTATTAATCTAAGCTGGGCATCTGTGATTTTTAGGTGTGAAAAATTAGTCATTATTAGGTGTCTAAAAACACCTTTTTAAATGGTTTCAAAGTTACCATAACTTTCGTGGTGATGATCACATGGCTAAAACTGATTACTAATCTAAGCTGTGAATCTGCGATATTTAGGTGTGAAAAATAAGTTATAAGTTGATATTGACGTGATTTTCATGTGATTTTGTTTATTGGGGAAGGTTCATGGTATCAAAACACAGCCTAAGTTTGATTTCGGAGTATCTAGGTCAAAGTTCATAGCTCATTAAATATGCGAATCTGGTTTCCATTCGATAACTTGAGTAATGTTTCACGAATTTCTATGAAATTTAATATGGAGGTACATGGTATAAAAAATACATGTACAGCCTAAGTTCGATTTGTGAGTATGTAGGTCAAAGGTGAAAGGTCATAGCTCAATAAATATGCAAAAACACTAATTATATATAAATGTGGTTAATTTCCTTGCCTAGTAATATGATAGTATAGTCCAATGGAGGTAACTTCTTCTGACGTATATAGGCCATTTGTCCCCTGCGAGGGGATGCTACGCTTAGCGTTGACTTGTTTTTCCTTATGACAAAATGGAAACCCCTAATCAACTTTGCTTTTCTTTTTTAAATGGTTGCAGTAGTAATACAAAAACCAGGATAGTTGCGTTAGGATGTGTATTTAAATTCTACAATATATGATGTGAAACTTAAAAGACTTTTTTGTCTCTTTCAAGTGAAAAATTTATTAATGATGTCCTTTGCAGTGATCCAAGTTTGGTATTCTAACCTCAGGAATACAATTTTGAAGCTGTAATGCCATGTGGACTAACATATTCTCGTAGAATTTAGACCTGAAACACATGTTTTTGAGAAACGTCTTGAACCTGGGTCCATTCTTCTTATTATGAGGTGGTTCAATCACCAGTGGAATGCCATTTAAGTCTCATGGTGTTGTCCCTCCGGCCATGTTCTCACCAGGTTCTCCATCCCCCTCGGCTGCAGCCAGACCTACCCCTGCAGCCCCCGCCCAGGTACCCAACAGGGGTTTCGTCAGCACCCCTGAGAGGGGCATCGAAAACGTGACTCCACCCGTGGTGGCCACACCGGGACTGAGCCCCTTTGCAGGGACACCAACCAAACCACTGGGCACAGGAGGAGAACCAAGCAAAGCGAGCCTCCAGCCACTGGGGATTGCCAATCAGAATATGACTGACAGACAGAGGCTGACTATGATGGCAGTTGCTGCTGCTACGGGAGGGGGTTCCCCTTCCCCTGCGTCACTTCATACTTCTGCACCACCTCAGCCAAAGACACAGGTAAGACCTTGCTCAAAACAAGGAATCTGTTCTGAATCATACAGTTTTAATCATAGATTTATAGAAGTAAACATTGCTTTCATTCCAATAAATATATGAAAACAGAATGATTATCTCACTCCTTTCACAACAACCCTGGCCATTTTTTTAAATACAAGAAATAGAATAGAACCCTTCTATTTCTTTATTCTTGGTACCAGTCTGTCATGGTTCATAATTTCACTTTGGGTCGGTTTTCAAAGCCCTTTTTTTTTTTTGGCATCCATGTAACCAAACAATTTTTCCAGACAAGTTCCTATTTACCAACTTATTACTTTGATATTCATTACGTGTGCACAGAACTTATCAGATGTGTATACAGGTAATCATGTGCCTTGAAACAGACCTTTTTCACTTCTTACCAAGGAATGGGACATATCGTCGGTGGGGTGACAAAACCTCGTATCTCAATTTTTTTGAGATTTTGATTTTTTTGCATAATTTTGTACCTAATGGCCTATGACACCACCTGATAAATCCATGGAACACCTTTTTCTCGGTTCTTTCACAAATTCCACATAAACACCCTCAAACTAAACCTCGTAACTTTAACCCCCTTGAAGCTGCACTGACAAAACCTCGTAACATAAGATGCGTAATTCCTTTTCCTCGTAACTCACACACGGCCTAACAGTACCGAAGTTAGTGTATTCAAATCGTCGTAACTTATTCAACCAAATCCTCGTAACTCATTCAGAGTTGAAAGTAAGAACTCGTATCTCAATTTGAATAAAAACTAAAAACTCGTATCTCAATGCAGATAAACGCAAAAACCTCGTAGCTCACTTTCAAATATAAAAACAATTATTTTACTGTATTTCAACAATGACATTAAAAATTGTATAATTATTCCAGTTTTAAAAAGAAAGTAGGGTGTCACAGCACTAAAATTGTTGAGACAGGAAAGTTTTTTCGCTCTCCTGAAAATTCATGATTTTTGAGATACAAGGTTTTGTCACCCCACCGACGATATGTTTTCAGTGAAGCAAAACTATAAACAAGCAAAAATTTGCCAGAGAATAGAAATTTTTCAATTTCTAGATCTGTGTGTATCTTCCTAATGACTGTAATAATAATAATAAATAATAATATTTAATTTTTTATATAGCGCTTAATACAAATGTCTCTAAGCGCTTTACAAATAGCAGCAGGGAGTTGTAATTTCCCCCTTTATGCTGTATTGATTTTGATTCCCTGCGTTCTTTTCTCCACTCTCAACAATAGTTCACAGGATTTGCTCCCAGCCCCGCTTCTGCCACCTCAAAACCAAGTCCAGGCGTCGGCGGCTTCTCATTCTCTACTTCTGCACCACCTCAGCCAAAGACACAGGTAAGACCTTGCTCAAAACTAGGAATCTGTTCTGAATCATACAGTTTTAATCATAGATTTATAGAAGTAAACATTGCTTTCATTCCAATAAATATATGAAAACAGAATGACTATCTCACTCCTTTCACAACAAGCCTGGCCATTTTTTTAAATACAAGAAATAGAATAGAACCCTTCTATTTCTTTATTCTTGGTACCAGTCTGTCATGGTTCATAATTTCACTTTGGGTCGGTTTTCAAAGCCCTTTTTTTTTTTTGGCATCCATGTACCCAGACAATTTTTCCAGACAAGTTCCTATTTACCAACTTATCACTTTGATATTCATTACGTGTGCACAGAACTTATCAGATGTGTATACAGGTAATCATGTGCCTTGAAACAGACCTTTTTCACTTCTTACCAAGGAATGGGACATATCGTCGGTGGGGTGACAAAACCTCGTATCTCAATTTTTTTTGAGATTTTGATTTTTTTGCATAATTTTGTACCTAATGGCCTATGACACCACCTGATAAATCCATGGAACACCTTTTTCTCGGTTCTTTCACAAATTCCACATAAACACCCTCAAACTAAACCTCGTAACTTTAACCCCCTTGAAGCTGCACTGACAAAACCTCGTAACATAAGATGCGTAATTCCTTTTCCTCGTAACTCACACACGGCCTAACAGTACCGAAGTTAGTGTATTCAAATCGTCGTAACTTATTCAACCAAATCCTCGTAACTCATTCAGAGTTGAAAGTAAGAACTCGTATCTCAATTTGAATAAAAACTAAAAACTCGTATCTCAATGCAGATAAACGCAAAAACCTCGGAGCTCACTTTCAAATATAAAAACAATTATTTTACTGTATTTCAACAATGACATTAAAAATTGTATAATTATTCCAGTTTTAAAAAGAAAGTAGGGTGTCACAGCACTAAAATTGTTGAGACAGGAAAGTTTTTTCGCTCTCCTGAAAATTCATGATTTTTGAGATACAAGGTTTTGTCACCCCACCGACGATATGTTTTCAGTGAAGCAAAACTATAAACAAGCACAAATTTGCCAGAGAATAGAAATTTTTCAATTTCTAGATCTGTGTGTATCTTCCTAATGACTGTAATAGCAGCAGGGAGTTGTAATTTCCCCCTTTATGCTGTATTGATTTTGATTCCCTGCGTTCTTTTCTCCACTCTCAACAATAGTTCACAGGATTTGCTCCCAGCCCCGCTTCTGCCACCTCAAAACCAAGTCCAGCCGTCGGCGGCTTCTCATTCTCTACTTCTGCACCACCTCAGCCAAAGACACAGGTAAGACCTTGCTCAAAACTAGGAATCTGTTCTGAATCATACAGTTTTAATCATAGATTTATAGAAGTAAACATTGCTTTCATTCCAATAAATATATGAAAACAGAATGACTATCTCACTCCTTTCACAACAACCCTGGCCATTTTTTTAAATACAAGAAATAGAATAGAACCCTTCTATTTCTTTATTCTTGGTACCAGTCTGTCATGGTTCATAATTTCACTTTGGGTCGGTTTTCAAAGCCCTTTTTTTTTTTTGGCAACCATGTACCCAGACAATTTTTCCAGACAAGTTCCTATTTACCAACTTATCACTTTGATATTCATTACGTGTGCACAGAACTTATCAGATGTGTATACAGGTAATCATGTGCCTTGAAACAGACCTTTTTCACTTCTTACCAAGGAATGGGACATATCGTCGGTGGGGTGACAAAACCTTGTATCTCAATTTTTTTGAGATTTTGATTTTTTTGCATAATTTTGTACCTAATGGCCTATGACACCACCTGATAAATCCATGGAACACCTTTTTCTCGGTTCTTTCACAAATTCCACATAAACACCCTCAAACTAAACCTCGTAACTTTAACCCCCTTGAAGCTGCACTGACAAAACCTCGTAACATAAGATGCGTAATTCCTTTTCCTCGTAACTCACACACGGCCTAACAGTACCGAAGTTAGTGTATTCAAATCATCGTAACTTATTCAACCAAATCCTCGTAACTCATTCAGAGTTGAAAGTAAGAACTCGTATCTCAATTTGAATAAAAACTAAAAACTCGTATCTCAATGCAGATAAACGCAAAAACCTCGTAGCTCACTTTCAAATATAAAAACAATTATTTTACTGTATTTCAACAATGACATTAAAAATTGTATAATTATTCCAGTTTTAAAAAGAAAGTAGGGTGTCACAGCACTAAAATTGTTGAGACAGGAAAGTTTTTTCGCTCTCCTGAAAATTCATGATTTTTGAGATACAAGGTTTTGTCACCCCACCGACGATATGTTTTCAGTGAAGCAAAACTATAAACAAGCACAAATTTGCCAGAGAATAGAAATTTTTCAATTTCTAGATCTGTGTGTATCTTCCTAATGACTGTAATAGCAGCAGGGAGTTGTAATTTCCCCCTTTATGCTGTATTGATTTTGATTCCCTGCGTTCTTTTCTCCACTCTCAACAATAGTTCACAGGATTTGCTCCCAGCCCCGCTTCTGCCACCTCAAAACCAAGTCCAGCCGTCGGCGGCTTCTCATTCTCTACTTCTGCACCACCTCAGCCAAAGACACAGGTAAGACCTTGCTCAAAACTAGGAATCTGTTCTGAATCATACAGTTTTAATCATAGATTTATAGAAGTAAACATTGCTTTCATTCCAATAAATATATGAAAACAGAATGACTATCTCACTCCTTTCACAACAACCCTGGCCATTTTTTTAAATACAAGAAATAGAATAGAACCCTTCTATTTCTTTATTCTTGGTACCAGTCTGTCATGGTTCATAATTTCACTTTGGGTCGGTTTTCAAAGCCCTTTTTTTTTTTTGGCATCCATGTACCCAGACAATTTTTCCAGACAAGTTCCTATTTACCAACTTATCACTTTGATATTCATTACGTGTGCACAGAACTTATCAGATGTGTATACAGGTAATCATGTGCCTTGAAACAGACCTTTTTCACTTCTTACCAAGGAATGGGACATATCGTCGGTGGGGTGACAAAACCTCGTATCTCAATTTTTTTGAGATTTTGATTTTTTTGCATAATTTTGTACCTAATGGCCTATGACACCACCTGATAAATCCATGGAACACCTTTTTCTCGGTTCTTTCACAAATTCCACATAAACACCCTCAAACTAAACCTCGTAACTTTAACCCCCTTGAAGCTGCACTGACAAAACCTCGTAACATAAGATGCGTAATTCCTTTTCCTCGTAACTCACACACGGCCTAACAGTACCGAAGTTAGTGTATTCAAATCGTCGTAACTTATTCAACCAAATCCTCGTAACTCATTCAGAGTTGAAAGTAAGAACTCGTATCTCAATTTGAATAAAAACTAAAAACTCGTATCTCAATGCAGATAAACGCAAAAACCTCGTAGCTCACTTTCAAATATAAAAACAATTATTTTACTGTATTTCAACAATGACATTAAAAATTGTATAATTATTCCAGTTTTAAAAAGAAAGTAGGGTGTCACAGCACTAAAATTGTTGAGACAGGAAAGTTTTTTCGCTCTCCTGAAAATTCATGATTTTTGAGATACAAGGTTTTGTCACCCCACCGACGATATGTTTTCAGTGAAGCAAAACTATAAACAAGCACAAATTTGCCAGAGAATAGAAATTTTTCAATTTCTAGATCTGTGTGTATCTTCCTAATGACTGTAATAGCAGCAGGGAGTTGTAATTTCCCCCTTTATGCTGTATTGATTTTGATTCCCTGCGTTCTTTTCTCCACTCTCAACAATAGTTCACAGGATTTGCTCCCAGCCCCGCTTCTGCCACCTCAAAACCAAGTCCAGCCGTCGGCGGCTTCTCATTCTCTACTTCTGCACCACCTCAGCCAAAGACACAGGTAAGACCTTGCTCAAAACTAGGAATCTGTTCTGATTCATACAGTTTTAATCATAGATTTATAGAAGTAAACATTGCTTTCATTCCAATAAATATATGAAAACAGAATGACTATCTCACTCCTTTCACAACAACCCTGGCCATTTTTTTAAATACAAGAAATAGAATAGAACCCTTCTATTTCTTTATTCTTGGTACCAGTCTGTCATGGTTCATAATTTCACTTTGGGTCGGTTTTCAAAGCCCTTTTTTTTTTTTGGCATCCATGTACCCAGACAATTTTTCCAGACAAGTTCCTATTTACCAACTTATCACTTTGATATTCATTACGTGTGCACAGAACTTATCAGATGTGTATACAGGTAATCATGTGCCTTTCAACAGACCTTTTTCACTTCTTACCAAGGAATGGGACATATCGTCGGTGGGGTGACAAAACCTTGTATCTCAATTTTTTTGAGATTTTGATTTTTTTGCATAATTTTGTACCTAATGGCCTATGACACCACCTGATAAATCCATGGAACACCTTTTTCTCGGTTCTTTCACAAATTCCACATAAACACCCTCAAACTAAACCTCGTAACTTTAACCCCCTTGAAGCTGCACTGACAAAACCTCGTAACATAAGATGCGTAATTCCTTTTCCTCGTAACTCACACACGGCCTAACAGTACCGAAGTTAGTGTATTCAAATCGTCGTAACTTATTCAACCAAATCCTCGTAACTCATTCAGAGTTGAAAGTAAGAACTCGTATCTCAATTTGAATAAAAACTAAAAACTCGTATCTCAATGCAGATAAACGCAAAAACCTCGTAGCTCACTTTAAAATATAAAAACAATTATTTTACTGTATTTCAACAATGACATTAAAAATTGTATAATTATTCCAGTTTTAAAAAGAAAGTAGGGTGTCACAGCACTAAAATTGTTGAGACAGGAAAGTTTTTTCGCTCTCCTGAAAATTCATGATTTTTGAGATACAAGGTTTTGTCACCCCACCGACGATATGTTTTCAGTGAAGCAAAACTATAAACAAGCACAAATTTGCCAGAGAATAGAAATTTTTCAATTTCTAGATCTGTGTGTATCTTCCTAATGACTGTAATAGCAGCAGGGAGTTGTAATTTCCCCCTTTATGCTGTATTGATTTTGATTCCCTGCGTTCTTTTCTCCACTCTCAACAATAGTTCACAGGATTTGCTCCCAGCCCCGCTTCTGCCACCTCAAAACCAAGTCCAGGCGTCGGCGGCTTCTCATTCTCTACTTCTGCACCACCTCAGCCAAAGACACAGGTAAGACCTTGCTCAAAACTAGGAATCTGTTCTGAATCATACAGTTTTAATCATAGATTTATAGAAGTAAACATTGCTTTCATTCCAATAAATATATGAAAACAGAATGATTATCTCACTCCTTTCACAACAACCCTGGCCATTTTTTTAAATACAAGAAATAGAATAGAACCCTTCTATTTCTTTATTCTTGGTACCAGTCTGTCATGGTTCATAATTTCACTTTGGGTCGGTTTTCAAAGCCCTTTTTTTTTTTGGCATCCATGTACCCAGACAATTTTTCCAGACAAGTTCCTATTTACCAACTTATTACTTTGATATTCATTACGTGTGCACAGAACTTATCAGATGTGTATACAGGTAATCATGTGCCTTGAAACAGACCTTTTTCACTTCTTACCAAGGAATGGGACATATCGTCGGTGGGGTGACAAAACCTCGTATCTCAATTTTTTTGAGATTTTGATTTTTTTGCATAATTTTGTACCTAATGGCCTATGACACCACCTGATAAATCCATGGAACACCTTTTTCTCGGTTCTTTCACAAATTCCACATAAACACCCTCAAACTAAACCTCGTAACTTTAACCCCCTTGAAGCTGCACTGACAAAACCTCGTAACATAAGATGCATAATTCCTTTTCCTCGTAACTCACACACGGCCTAACAGTACCGAAGTTAGTGTATTCAAATCGTCGTAACTTATTCAACCAAATCCTCGTAACTCATTCAGAGTTGAAAGTAAGAACTCGTATCTCAATTTGAATAAAAACTAAAAACTCGTATCTCAATGTAGATAAACGCAAAAACCTCGTAACTCACTTTCAAATATAAAAACAATTATTTTACTGTATTTCAACAATGACATTAAAAATTGTATAATTATTCCAGTTTTAAAAAGAAAGTAGGGTGTCACAGCACTAAATTTGTTGAGACAGGAAAGTTTTTTCGCTCTCCTGAAAATTCATGATTTTTGAGATACAAGGTTTTGTCACCCCACCGACGATATGTTTTCAGTGAAGCAAAACTATAAACAAGCAAAAAATTGCCAGAGAATAGAAATTTTTCAATTTCTAGATCTGTGTGTATCTTCCTAATGACTGTAATAGCAGCAGGGAGTTGTAATTTCCCCCTTTATGCTGTATTGATTTTGATTCCCTGCGTTCTTTTCTCCACTCTCAACAATAGTTCACAGGATTTGCTCCCAGCCCCGCTTCTGCCACCTCAAAACCAAGTCCAGCCTTCGGCAGCTTCTCATTCTCTACTTCTGCACCACCTCAGCCAAAGACACAGGTAAGACCTTGCTCAAAACTAGGAATCTGTTCTGTATCATGAAGTTTGAATCGCGGAGTATTGACTTATAGAAATAAAAATTGCTTTCATTCTAATGAATATGAAAACAAAGTGATTATCTCACCTTTTTTGCAACAACATCAATGTCAACTTGATAGGTATTATTGCAGGTGAAAAGTGAAGACTCAGGCCATATTTTGAAAGACAAGAAATAGAATAGAACCCTTCTATTTCTTGGTAGCAGTCTGTCATAAGTCTGGCATCCATGTACCCAGACATTTTTTTAGCAAGTGCCTGTTTACCATCTAAAGTTATTTTGCTGATAAAAGGTTTTGATTGCTCCAGCCCCACTAGTTTAAATTTGCTTTTTTCTTTTCAAAATTTCATCAAATGTGCACAAAACTCTTAATTTTTGTCAATTTCCAGGTCTTTGTGTGATGTCATCCTAATTACTGAAATAGCAGCATGAATTGTACCTCTTCTCATTATGTTGTATGCTTTCGTTCCTATATTCTCATCAAAAGTTCACAGGATTTACTCCATGCCCTGCTTCTGCCACCTCCAAACCAAGTCCAGCCTTCGGCAGTTTCTCCTTCTCGCCAAGCACTGTCAAACCGCTGCCCTCTTCAGCCAAGCCAGCCACCACTTGTTCTGCTGCATCCCCATTCAATGGCTTCTCCACATCTGCTCCTTCAACAGCGGGTGTCTTCAAGCCTGCAGCACCTTCAAAGGCCACTCTCCAGCCTGCAGCAGCTCAGCCAAAGATACAGGTAAGACCTTAATTGCTAAAAACTAGGAAATTTGCTCAGAATCATAAAGTTTGTCTCAAAATAGAGTATTGATTTATAGAAGTAAACATTGCGTTCATTCTAATGAATATGAAAACGTACTATATAGCGATTATCTCACTCCTTTCACAGCAGCATAAATGTCAACTTGAAAAGTATCATTGCAGGGTGAACATTGAAGACCCTGGCCATATTTTGAAAGACAAGAAATAGAATAGAACCCTTCTATTTCTTGGGACCAGTCTGTCATAATTCATGATTTCACTGTAGGCCGGTTCTCAAAGCCAATTTTTTTTTCTGGCATCCATGTTTCCAAACAATTTGTATTACTTTGCTTTCAATTGTTTTGATTTCATTACGTGTGCACAGAACTTATCGGATGTGTACATAGGTGCTCATGTGCTTGAAACAGGCCTTTTTCACTTCTTACCAAGGAAATTGACATGGGGATAGAAATTGTTCAATTTCTAGATCTTTGTGTGTCTTTGTAATGTCTGTAATGCTTCCTCCCATTATGTTGTATTGATTTGGATTCCCTGCGTTCACTTCTCCACTTTCAACCACAGTTCACCGGATTTACTCCCATCCCCGCTTCCGCCGCCTCAAAACCAAGTCCAGCCTTCGGCAGCTTCTCCTTCTCGCCAAGCACTGTCAAACCAGCGCCCTATATAGCCCAGCCAGCAACCACTTCCTCCTCTGCATACCCATTCACTGGCTTCTCCTTCGGCATGTCCACCACCATGTCTGCTCCGTCAACATCCACCTTATCAACAGCGGGTGTCTTCAAGCCTGCCGGGCCTTCAAAGGCCACTCTCCAGCCTGCAGCTGCAGCAGGGGGATCACCAGTGGTCTTTGGCAAGCCTAACCCTAGCCAAGAGGCGGCAAGGTCTGCGTCACCGGTGTATCCAGGGTTCTTTTCCTCTCCGAAGGGATTTGCCGGAACTCCTCCTCAGGGTGATCAGACGGTACCACCGTCAAGGAAGCTGGGACAGAGTCCTCTGGTCAAGGCGGCTGCATCGCCCAAAGTAGCAGACACACCCAAGTCTGTATCCTTCAAGTCAGAGGGTGAAGGTTTGTGAAATTGATAAAAATTTGTTTTCTTGTTATAAAAGAATCCCAGGATAATAATAATAATAATAATTATAGGCATTTCTATAGCGCCGTCTATCTAGAAATTCTATTCCGAGGCGCATTAATTATTACCCTGGCTTAAGCCTAGCTGCCATTACAGCGCTGCAGCATTTAAAGTAATTAATTCCTGCCAGGTATCTACTTGTCTGTAATATCCATCAATGATTTGAAACAATTCAGACCTTCAATAATAAGTACTGAGTTGAAAAGCAAAATGGTACATATTAGATCAGCTTATCAGTCAGTGCTATTACAAGTAGAGTGCTGTAAAGATCTTGTATATAATGCTATTTCAGTGCAGGATGAGTGTACAGAAATTATGTAATTTTAATGATACAATGTATCTCCTCATTGTATTACTCGCATATCCATCCCAAGAGATGCTTAAGACACAAAAAATATGCTACTTTTATCCCGTCTGTAGCAAGACTACCCTGAGATGCTCAAATAATGATAATAATACACAACATTTATTAGGCGCTAAATACGGGTGTTTCTAAGCGCACTATTGTCTGACTAAAAATTAACAACCAAAACTTATAAAAACACCAACAAAAAATATAAATCTGCTCTTTATTCAATAAATCATGCATACATAATAATAAAAATAAGAATAAAAATGAGATCAAACATAAGGTCAGACATAAGATCAAACATAAGATCTAACAAACAAGGAATAGCTGGTGTGCACCTCCTTTTACCGACTCACAACTGCAGAATATCATTCATGAATTAAAAAGGTGCGTTTTCAGCAAGGTCTTTAGCTGGTCAAGAGAATGAGTATTATGAATATATGCTGGTAATTTATTCCAAAGGATAAGGGCATTGACTGAAAAAGCTTGATCGCCATATTTTGTAACGGTATGAGGTCCAAGCGTTAACTGCAAGGTTGATGATGATCGAAGAGGTCTTAAAGAACTAGAAGAACGTAAGCTAATCAAATCTGAAAGATATTTAGGGGCTTGGCCATGGAGAATTTTGTATGTTAGAAGAAGAACTTTAAATGTTATACGATGATGTATGGGAAGCCAATGGAGGGAACGCAATATTGGGGCTATGTGCTCAAATTTTCTTGAGAGAGTAACAAGCCTTGCAGCAGTATTCTGAATTCTTTGAAGTGGAAGTAGGTATGAATAAGGAAGGTCAGAAAATAGGTGGGAGGATACAAAGGCATGGGTTAATTTTGCAGTTGTGGGTCAGTCAAGTAGTTTCCTAATTTTCCCAATCTTAAAGATTCCAAAAGATGCAGATTTACAGGCATTTTAATATGCTGCTGAAATGTAAAATTTCTGTCGATTAAAACACCAAGGTCTCATACGCATTCAATACCCTTTAGTGAACCTTCTCCAGTAAACAAGTCGGGGAAGGAATCAGTGTTTCTGAATTTGGAAGTAATGTGGATCATTTCAGATTTTTCTTTCATTAAGGCAAAGTATATTGTTAAAAGACAAGAACCTAATGTCTTCAAGGCAACTGCTAAGTTTCTGAGTTACATCATCCTTCCCGTTATGCTTAAAAGTTATATAAATCTGAGTGTCGTCAGCGTACATCGCATGCTGAATCCCCTGGTGAGAATTAATGATCTTAGACAGTGGATTACGGAACCTCGAGGAACGCCGCAGATCAAGGCGTGTCGTTGATTGCACGTTGACTGTGATTGTGGAGATATGAGCGTGTCCAATCAAAGCATTCAAGGATGTTTCTTTTTTACAAAGTGCCTATTTACCTCACCTGGGTTGAGAGTGGCAAACAGACTAATGTCTTCCCAAATTAGTGTCACTTTGATCCACAGTCTGGTGAGTGTCCACAAGACCAAAACAACGTGATGGTCATTGATGAAGGTTGAAGTTTCTAAGAACCTAGTTTCTAAGAACCTCCTCCTTTACCACAGGATGGAATTGAATCTCTGAAACATCTTTATTATTAGATCATATTTATTAGATACTCTTTTTAAAACTTCCATTGTATTAGGAGCAGTTATCTTGTAGTACTCAGAAAATGTTCTTTATTTCATGTGAATGTCAGAAAAATCAAATATTTGAAACAACTGATCGATTGTGCTGTAAGTACTAATATTCCTCATGCTTTGTAATCATACTGCTCTTCCCACTAGACAATGATGTAATCTTCGTCTCCATGACCCAGCCAACTCCTGGGCAGCGTGCTAGAGCTGAGAAACTCAAGCTCCCTGGTGGTTTCTATCTTTACGAGAATGCCCCTCCCTGCAAGGGATGTATTGGATGTATCGAGGACCTCGATTTAGATTCGCTTTTCCAGAAAGGTGGAGATGGAAAGGCATCAGCACCGGCAGTCAGACCCAAAGGTGAGGATGTAGGAGTTTCTTTAAAGCCTATCTGCACTAGTTTGGCCAGGAGGGATTAGTCCTCCCTGGATGGTCACTGGCAAGTGGTTATCTCATCAAATCAGCACTCAATTAACATAAGAAAAAGGGGACCATGGGGGACCAACGGGTACCGCTTGCTAAATAGGGGGCGCAAGTAGCTACAAGTAGTGCAGTCCTACCTTAAACAGGAAATAAGATCCTGCACCGGTGTATGGAATCTGTTGAGAAATACACTGCTCTGTTCAGAATATTGCTATTATCATCTTTGCAAAACTGTCACCATACATTTTGCAATCTAAAATGGTTGTACTGTACCCTAGTCATCTTGTTTCATGCAAATAAGAGCAACAAACATGGAGAACAAGAACCTAATGTCTTCAAGGCAACTGCTAAGTTTCTGAGTTACATCATCCTTCCTGTTGTGCTTAAAAGTTATATAAATCTGAGTGTCGTCAGCGTACATCGCATGCTGAATCCCCTGGTGAGAATTAATGACCTTAGACAGTGGGCTGGTGTTGAGAAGAAAGAGAAGCGGGCCGATTACGGAACCTTGAGGAACGCTGCAGATCAGTGTAAATGTTGCAGAAGGCGTGTCCTTGATTGCACGTTGACTGTGATTGTGGAGATATAAGCGTATCCAATCAAAGCATTCAAGGACGTTTCTTTTTTACAAAGTGCCTATTTACCTCACCTGGGTTGAGAGTGGCAAACAGACTAATGTCTTCCCAAATTAGTGTCACTTTGATCCACAGTCTGGTGAGTGTCCACAAGACCAAAACAACCTTATGGTCATTGACGAAGGTTGAAGTTCCTGAGAACCTAGTTTCTAAGAACCTCCTCCTTTACCACAGGATGGAATTGAATCTCTGAAACATCTTTATTATTAGATCATATTTATTAGATACTCTTTTTAAAACTTCCATTGTATTAGGAGCAGTTATCTTGTAGTACTCAGAAAAAGTTCTTTATTTCATGTGAATGTCAGAAAAATCTAAAATATTTGAAACAACTGATCGATTGTGCTGTAAGTACTAATATTCCTCATGCTTTGTAATCATACTGCTCTTCCAACTAGACAATGATGTAATCTTCGTCTCCATGACCCAGCCAACTCCTGGGCAGCGTGCTAGAGCTGAGAAACTCAAGCTCCCTGGTGGTTTCTATCTTTACGAGAATGCCCCTCCCTGCAAGGGATGTATTGGATGTATTGAGGACCTCGATTTAGATTCGCTTTTCCAGAAAGGTGGAGATGGAAGGGCATCAGCACCGGCAGTCAGTCTTGCACTCAGTAAACTCTTGGTCCCATCGAGAAAATACCCCAGTCTCTAGAATCCTGTCTTCATCAGCTCAAGTTGGCCAAATAGCCCGCTATTTCTAATTAAGGAAATTAGCCTGAAGTTACAAATCACGTCTTCATCAGCTCGAAACTCAAGCTCAGTATTGACGCATAGTACAAGTCTTCGGGCTGGTGAAGCGGGACCGGGCTATTTTGCAAACTAGCCTAAGATATCTTGGGAAGATTTCCCGCTATTTGCGTCTTCACCTGCCAAATAGCCTGTTATTTTGTGATCAGGCTAATTTCCAGAATCAGAAATAGCGGGCTATTTGGCTAACTCGAGCTGATGAAGACAGGCCTAAGGAGAGTCTTTGGGTGATATGAGGGAAATGTAAGATAATGACTTTTCCATATGTGTCAATTAGTGGAAAATGCAGAGCATTACATAAGGCCTGTTGGTCATAAAACTAAAGCCTAATCCTGGTGATTGGCAATACCTGTTGTTGGGTAAACACCCAAATGGAGACAAATTTCCCATGACAGCTCACTACTATGCATCTTAAGATGTTCATAGAAAATGCTGTGGCGAATTCTTCCATAATCAGATCTGTGCCAGATCATACAGTGTGATGTGGGCTTTTCGCATATTCACAGAGTTCTGTGCTATAAGATACAGAAATGTGAGGCATATTACAATGACACCTTTATATAAATAACCACCGTGGTATACTGTGGCGTATCAGGAGACTTGAGTGGTAAAGATTTATTGATTTTTTATTTTAAATACTATAAGTGGATTAATTGTTAATGATATTTTATCTTCCATTGTAAAGGTGGATTGATTGTTAAATGATATTTTACCTTCCGTTGTACAGGGGGAAGCATGTTTGGAGGTGGTGACATAGAAGGAGCAATGTCATTTGCAACTTTAGCAGCCCACCAAAGAGACGGATTTGAACAGCCTTTTGGCAAAAAGGGTAGGAACGAAATGTGTTTTAAAGCCTCTCCCTCTCCCCCACCCCTCTTGAACAAAAAATGAGCAATAATTAATTTTGTAATAGTGAATGAAAAGCATCGATAAGACATACCAATTTGTTATTACCTTGGTTATGGAACAAAGAAGCTTTTATGAATAATAGTCAATTCACAATACTTCATCAGGAGATTACATCATTAGCTTTTACTATGCCTTTTAATTGGTAATTGATTTCCTTATAACTCTTCAAAAGTCTATCACGTAATGGTCCCACCCTCTCCATATTAGGTATTACATTAAAAACTAGGGCCTTTACTCATGGAATTATCGTTACCTCTCTATTTCATATCCAGTAACATACAAACAATTCTTCTTTGTGGACACTCTCTTGCCCCGCCATGCTGAATGTTACATGTAAAACACCCAGGTCTGTATCTTTACCTGTAGAATTCTTTATACTTCTTTTCTCCTACCCCGTCTGAATCCAGCATCTGACAAACCATTCGCCTTTGCCCACGCCGGGGCCCCTGTCTTCGGAGGCAGTGGTGTTTCCCACGGCGGCAACGACGACTCGTATGGCGGCGGCGGGGAGTACAATCCCCACTACGAGCCCATCGTGTCCCTCCCCGACATAGGCAGCATCAGCAGCGGGGAGGAGGATGAAGACGAGATGTTCCGCCACCGGGCCAAGCTCTATCGCTATGATCGCGACAACAAGGCGTGGAAGGAGCGCGGCGTCGGGGACATCAAGGTCTTGAGGAACCCCAAGACTGGCAATGCTCGCATTCTCATGAGGAGGGATCAGATCTTAAAGGTTTGTTCATAGTAGATGTGCTTTTGGGTTTCACAAAAACTAAGATCGACTTTAAGTTGGACTTGACTATGGCAGGCCATTAGTGCCACAATTTTCTCTCACCATTTACTGGCAATGGTCTTTCAAGGGATGTACAAATCTACAGAATGTACATTTTTTAATAATTTATTATTGAAGGTAAAAATATTATCTAAGGATCATAGTTGAGAGACCGAGAGCAACCAGTGGCATGAATGGCCTGCCGTAGTTAAGTCCAACTTAAAGTCAATCTTAGTCTTTGTGAAACACCCCCAGGACTGTGTGTATTTTCACTAGTAGCAGTCATTGTATCTTTTATAAAATTCATAGCCATATAACAACCTTTGATTTGACCCAATCATTACAGTGAGAATGAATGATGTCTTTCACAATGAATTGGACCATTGATGTCAGATCTCTGTGTTGGTCCTCAATAATTCTAAGAATGGTTTTACCTCTGACCTTTGACCTTTCAGCTTTATTTTAACCAGTGGATCACATTCGATGTGTACCTGAATCTGATGATAGCATCACTAAAAATTTAACTTACCTCTGTGTTGGTCCCTACTAGTTCTACAATTGGTTTGACCTTACATGTTTGACCTACTCTGTATATACAACACCATTGATTCGATAACCTCTGACCTTTGACCTTTCAGCTGTTTGCTAACCAGTGGATCACATTCGACGTGTACCTGAATCTGATGATATCATCATTAAAAATTGACTTCTTACAGTGTCAGCTTCCCTTTAAATAGACGATATAACCTTTCACATGTGAACATCCAGTTACATTTCAAATAGTCTTTTAAGTTCATTTGATGAACAGTGTGACCTTTGATCTCTGTTGTTTGAGGCTATGCACAAGCCACTGGATCATATCTGATGTGTACCTGAATCTGATGATAGCTTCTCTTTAGATTGACCTGTTTCCTTCCTAAAGTGCCTTCCTCTTTATAGATAAACAAGTTGACCTTTGACATGTGGAAATGCAGTCACGGTTAAAACCATCAGTAAATTTCATTTAGTGAGCAATGTGACCTTTAATCTCTGTTGTTTGAGGCTATGCACAAGCCACTGGATCATATCTGATGTGTACCTGAATCTGATGATAGCTTCTCTTTAGATTGACCTGTTTCCTTCCTAAAGTGCCTTCCTGTCTGTAGATAAACAAGTTTCATGTGTGGAAATGCAATTACATTTTAAACCGTCAGTCAATTTCATTTGATGAACAATGTGACCTTTGATCTTTGACCTTGCAGCTTTGTGCCAACCACTGGATCACAGCAGACATGGTCCTCAAGCCGATGATGGCTTCGGAGACTGCATGGATCTGGTTCGCTGTGGACTTCTCAGAGGAGGAGGCCAAGACTGAGCAGCTGGCCGTCAAGTTCAAGCATGTCGAAGATGCCAAGCGCTTCAAAGAATGTTTCCTTGAGGCTCAGGAACTACTAGGGGTCAAGGAAGAAAAGGAGGAGGAGGAAGAAGAAGAGGAGGTCTTCAGTAAGGTATGTACATTCATGAAAGAGATGTAGACTGTACAATAGTGTTTGGTTGAAATTTGATCAAAACACTTTTAAGGAAGCTTTCTGTGAGACCAAGGAACTAATAGTGGTCAAGGAAGTAAAGGAGAAGTTTTAGAAGAAGAAGGAGAAAGAGATGGTTTTCAGTATCAAAGTATGTACAATTCATGTAGAAACGAGATTGTAAGATATTTTTTTGGTTGATTTTGGCCGAAGCACTGAAAGAAACTTTAGTAGAGGCTGAGAAACCACTAGGGGTCAAGGAAGAAGGGAAAGAGGAAGAGGAGAAAAGAAAAAGTAGTCTGTCATGTATGTACAAATAAGCAAGAGACGATGTGGACTCTACGTTACGGTCAAGAAAATAAAAGTATGGTTAACCTACCAAAGACAAGGAAATTTTTGTGAATTTGCTTTATTTGTCTCAAATTGGCATATCAAAAATTTCAGTTATTCTTTGTTGTTATACTGACCAATCAGATTTCATTAATCTACAAATGCAAGGACTAAAATATTACACATAAAGAGGTTGTATATCCGTGATTGAACATGCACATCGTCGTAAACCCTATTTACATACAATTTCATAAACTACCTCAAACCAACGCTGGCGCAGTGAACATTCTGGTGTTAATGAAGGATATGAGGCAATACAAAAGGACGGTTGAGTTTGAGTTTAGTTTCGTTGTACAGTGCCTCCATATTTATGATTAATCTTTCCTTCTTTTTTCAAACAGACCACAGAGAGCAAGTCCCTAAGAGCCTCGGAAGCTAACCCACAGCTTACAAGCCTTCTAATGGGAAACAATAAACTCTCAATGGGGAAAGGGGTAAGTTTCTCTCAAAGAGCTCAAAATTAGGATGTATTTTGGAATGAGTATGTTAGTAAGAGCTTTACTTTACTAGTGTTTAGAGCACATGATGGTCAACAAAAATCAGAATGACCCCTGAAACTTTGATGATGTTTTTTTTTTTTAAATAGAGATGACAGGGCCTTCATTTGGATTTTTTATGTGCCCCCAGTTTAATGGGGAGCCCTAATTGAGTCATGATGTTTGCGTAGCTTAACATTCAGCACTGTGTTCACTGGATGTGCTGTTACAATTGACCATATATTAGTTCAAACTGATGCTGAACATGCACAAAAATCAACATATTGGAGAGACAGGAAAAGAGGCTTCAATTTGACTTATCGTATCGATAAAAACAGCTGAGAGTGGTGGAAAGTGATTCCTGGAATGCCTTTAGCGCCCCTTTTGCAACTTTGCTAGAGCCAGGGTTCTACTTAGAAATTGCCTTGAGCATCCCTAGGATGGATATGTGCCGATTGATATGATGGAAGTCGTGCTAACTCGGACCCGGGGACACATTGGCCCGTTGCGAATAAGGGGCCGAGTTGTCCGGCATGATTGATTTTTGAATGAAATTTTTTAGGGTTACGGTTAGTTTTTAAGGTTAGGGTAGGGTTTAGCATTAGGGTCAGAATTAAAGTTAGGGTAAGCTGGGACAACTCTGCTCCGTATTTGCGGGCCAGGCTGAGTCCGAGTTAGCCCGGATCCATATGATGTACATGTAGGTGTTACTACCACTAAATCTTTTTTTCATTGATTGTTTTTCTCATTTTTTCACAGTCATCCGCCAGTCAGAAAGCAAAGCTTGCCAATAAACCTGGTTCATGGGACTGCGATGACTGTTATTCTAACAATGCAGCTGAGTCTCCTGCTTGCGTTGCCTGTACTGCACCCAAGCCAGGTGCCAAGGCAGTGCCTTCCTCTGGTGCTAAGGGTGCCACTGCGGGTGCTGGTCCTCTTAAGACAGGTTCTACAGTAGCAGCAAAGTTTGCCAATAAGCCTGGGTCATGGGACTGTGACGCCTGTTTCACTAACAATAAAGTGGAGTCTATTGCCTGCGTTGCATGTACTACACTGAAGCTAGGTACAGATCCCAAACCATCTACCGGCGCTAGCGCGAGTACAGGTGCTGTCGGAGGTGCCTTTGCTTCTCCATCGAGGTTAAATTTCGGATCCAAACCAAGCGGTGCAAGTACTGGATTTTGTTTTGGAAGTCCTCCAACCGCCGGAAGCACCGCTGGTAGTTGTGTCGCCTTCAAGATACCTGCTGGGTTCAGCTTGTCTAGAAGTTCTTCCACCTCGAAAGGTGCCACCCCGGACTCAAAAACCACTGATGGTGCTGCACCGTCAAGTGTAGCATTCAAGGTTCCTGCAGGATTCAGCCTCTCATCTCAGTCGACACCTTCAACCGGATCCGTCTTTAGAGAAAAGAAGGACGACACCCAGAAGCCTAAGGAGAACGACGGTGCCACAAAGACACCTTCAACCGGCTTCACATTTTGTGCAGCAGATAGCAATGAGGCAGCACCATCAACTTCTACCGGTGCAACCACTCCAGGTGGTACCCTGGTCACAGACAAGTTCACCTTTGGCAAACACATGCCTAAGTTCTCCTTTGGTAGCAAGGACAAATCCAAGTCTAATGCAGGGTTCGCCTTCGGTCAACCAGATGCACCAGATGCGGGTGAAACCAAGAAAGGGTACTCATTCACTGACAGGTTCACCTTTGGTAAACACATACCTCAGTTCTCCTTTGGTGGCAAGGACAAATCCAAGGCTGATTCAGGGTTCCCCATCATTTTTCCTTTAGCTGAACCAGAAGCAGGTGAAACAAAGGAAGGGTACCCATTCTCGAGTGCCCTCAACGTGAGTGTATTATCACAACCATAACATGCAGGTGCCCATAAGTGTACAATATCAAATGACAGTATATGAAGTAAGATTGTAAGATTTTATTGACTCTATCAGACTTGAATATTTACATATGAGTCATTGGTTCGATTAATGCTTAACACTGCATGTGGCTAATTGTTTTGTTTTAATATGCAAATTTGCCAAATACACAATGAAAATACACTTTTATAATATTTAAAAAGAAGATAAGTAACTTAACTCAAAGGTTTTGTTTTTTTTATTAAGAAAAAGCCGTATGAATTCTTGCAGATTTAATTCTATAATTCTAATTTACATGTATTTCAAAAAATTTGTTGAAATGTAAGTTGAATTTGCTATCTACCAATTATTTACCAAATTTCTTTACATTGATTCTTGCTAAACTTTCCGCTTGGGCTCCCCTAAGGCTCAGACTCAGTGATGTTAAAATTCTTGAGCTTGTATTCAACTAAAATTTAAACTTGCGCTAGGCTTACGGTAGGCTTTGTTTGAAATCTTATCATGCCACAGGGCTAATCCCAATTGTGCCAAGCACCAAATCCCCCCGTGCCAGGTTGTTTTGGAGATAATCTGATTAACGCGATGGTTGTATGAATAGCGCGTGCGAAACACACAGCACAGTCCAATAACTGCTATTATGAATGCGTGCTTGCAGGCACATGGCAGTGATTCAATGGTTAGCTGGCATGCACAAAGCACTATAACGGTAGCGTGCATGCAGCCTCATGGCATGCTATGAGTTAACAAAGGAAATTATTCTGAGATCTACTTTTTCCTTTTATTAATCATGACTTTAAAGCTAGGGCCTGGTTTGACTGAATGAGTAGAATATAGGGACCTTTAAGTCTGAATACTAATCTTCTTTCTATCATTTGTATGCCAGTAATTTTTTCTTTGATTCCTGCCAAATACCTCTGGGTCACTCTAAAGGCCATGGGCTCAGATTCAATGTAGATGAAATTCTTTTGACTTAAGTTAATAATCTTCTTGATGCTGATTTTGTACCATATTTCTTCTCTTCTATTCTTGTCAAATCAAAGTCCTCGATCTCTGATTCCGAATCCAAAGCAGACGCCTCATCAGCATCCTCTACACCAAGCAAACCCGCTCTGACCCTCACCGACATAGCCGAGTCTCAGGGTTCGTCCTTCACGTTCCGTATAGACCTCAATGCGGTGACTGCCAAGAGCCCCATCAAGTCCCCCGGAGGAGCCAAGTCTCCAGGCGTGGGAAGGTCTCCGAAGACCTCCTTCTCCAGGGGAGGTAGGACACTGTCTGGAGGCTCCGTCGACGACGTGGAGCAAGTGGAAGATGTTTACTTTAAGCCCATCTTCCAGATGCCAGAAGATTATGAAGTCAGGACGGGTGAGTGCACCATGTTTTTAACAAAAAGTACATTTTTGCAGGGTGAGTAAAACCGCAGGCACACCACCAAACCAACTCCAAATAACTGATTTTGGGCCATTCAGAACCATGTAATATTTTTTTTGTCTCTTGTTGGTTTTCAGATGTTTGTCTTGCTGGTACAACTTTGTTTTGAACTGTCACTGTAATTGAAGCAAGGGGTGAGGGGGGGTGCTGGATTATTAGTCATAGGAATTTAGATTATCCAGGAGCGAAAGATTTTATTTACCACAATAAATCATATGTATCTACATATTATTGCTTTCAGTCCTCCAGACAAAGCAGTCATTGAAATAAAAAAAAAGTCACAGTTGTGCATACCCCACCCCAAGACCCCGCTATACCCCACGCACCACGCCCGCATGCAACTTCCTCTCTCTTTTTCGCAGTCAATCGATAAGGAGTACAGATAAGTCACTCGCGCAAAATTTGGAGTTTTTGACTCATAGCAGCATTTTTGGTTCGGGTTTTAACCCTCAGTCACTTTAGTTTGGCAGTAATTAGTGTTCACTTTTGCCAAGCGAACTTCTTTTTTTTAGTTTAGTCCCGGGCACAGTTTTTTGTGTACTGGGCTTTTACACTGTGTGTGTTTACTTGAATATTACGGGAATTCTTTGTGCATACCTCGTGTGTTGTTGAAGTGTGTGCTAACGGTGCGGCTCTTCTGTTTGAGCTCGCTGTGCGTTAAGTTCACCCCAGCGGAACACCAGGGTCACAAACTCGCTGAGGCTTCTCACGAAGCATTCACGCGAGCAGGCCCCAGTCACACCGAGCAAGGGGTTTCACTGAAGCTTCTCTCAAGGCATCGCAGTGTGAGGGCCCCGGTTACACTGATCGTAGGGGTTTTCTCTCAAGTTTCTATAGAAGCAGTGAAGCGGGACGGCCCAGGTCAATCTGACCGTAGTGCCAAGCTTACGAAAGCTAGCAAAGCAGAGAAACCTCCTTCATAGGGGTTTTCGCTCACGTTTCTATAGAAGCAGTGAAGCGAGGCAGCCCAGGTCAATCTGACCGTAGAGCCAAGCTTTAGAAAGCTAGCAAGGCCAAGAAGCCCCCTTCGTCCCCCGTTGAGGATGGAAGGGTAAGAGGCGGAAGGGTTCGAGCACCCAAGCTTCGGCTGGGTCGGGGGCTATTGTTGTCTCAGAGCCGGGCTCTTTGTCCTCAGATTCTGATTATTTTTCCGAATTCTTGGGTGTTGCTCCTGTGGCATTAAGATTGTCACCCCATGCATTCGGCTCTCCCTTAGGCTTTGTCTCTACAGCGCCCGCTTTACTTGGTGCTTCTCCAGGAGAGGAGTCGTTTGACTCAGGGGTGGTCTTACCGTAGCTTTGAGTTGTCAGTGTGACAAAAAAAAAAAAAAAAAAAAAATTATGCCAATGGCTGACCTTAAAAAAGTTGACCTTACCCCCCTCTCCCCCAACGAAACAAAATCTGCTTATTCAGAGGCTGGCTGAGTCGTTATGATTTTTTGGGGACTAAAAATTAAAAAAAATTGTCTGCTTACCCCCCCCCCCCCCCCCCCCCCCACTGAGCGCCTTTTGGGTCAGCGCGATTTTCATATTTTCGGGAGCAAAATAATAAAGCTTTAAGTTGTTTTCGTATCATGTTCACCGCCCGTAAAGCTAAAGCTGAAGCTCTAGTAAGGCCGTGAAGCTTGTTTGGCCTCCCATTTCTACGGGTGTGAAGCGGAGGGGCTCGAGGCCCTATTCACACTGGCCATAAAGTTAGGTTTAGGGTCTATTAAGGCTGTGTAGCTCGCTTCGCTGCCTGTATCTAGGGGTGAGAAACGGTAGACTTGTTGCCCTGTTCACACCGCCCGTTATAGCTGAAGTTTAAGCTCTATAGTACGGCCGTGTAGCTCGCTTCGTCCCCCGTATCTGGGGGTAAGAAGCAGAAAAGCTCGTCCACCCTTCTTCGGCTGGGTCTGGAGTTAAAGATAAACTTAAGTACTGGTAATGCGATTGCATTGTGAAAGAAAAGGTGTGGAAAGGATCAGAAACAGTTGATCATGTAGCATGTAAGTATTGGTGTGCACTGCAAGGTTCTGGAGTCATCAAAATCATAATAAATTTGACCGAGTCTTGGTAATTAAAGTAACAAGTACTGTACACAGAAAGCTATATATGGGACAACACACATGGTGTCGGGGCTAGTACTACCTTGATTTCCTTGTCTTTCTATGCTCATTACTCATTCAGTATACATTTTCTTCCAAAATTGTTCGGCACATGTCATTTATTTCTAATCTTGAACATTCAGTGTAAGTTTCGTTTGATTCTGTGAGAATTAATTTTCTTTTTTTTACCAGAACTCAAGTTTATCTTTAAGCTTGGCCCTTAAGTGCAAAGATATCCCGGTTTTTCATGACCGACTGTGTCGGGAGGGGCCCTGTTTTCTCAGGCGAGATACCAGTTATCGCTGCCGTGTAAGGTAAGGATTTTTGGCTCGCTTTGGCTTCCTGTGAAGCGTTGTAAGCGAGTCATTTCCGGTCTCACCGGCCGTATAGCTGAAGCTCTAGCACGGCCGCGAAGTTCGCTTCGTCCCCCGTTTTTAGGGGTAAGAAGCAATGGAGTTCGCGGCCCTAGTTGCATAGCCCGTAGGTTAGAGCTAAGGCTCTAGCAGGGCCGTGAAGTTTGTTTCGTCCCCCGTTTTTTACGGGTAAGAAACGGAAGGGTTCATATTCCCAAGTTTTGGCTGGGACAGCTAGAGCTAAGAAGGCGAAGGAGAAATCTTCGCCAATGTCAGCCTTATCTGCTACCGCTCAGACGGAGCTTCGGGGTGTTTTTAAAAACAGGTACTGTTCCGCTGTGTCCATCCACCATGAGTGGTTTTGAATTTATTAAGGGATGTCGCCGTGGATACAAAGACTGTTACAAGCCGTGCTGTCTTGATCGGAACGGCCAGCTTGGTAGGAGGTCGGGCCTCACAGACTGCGTAGTTGTTTTGCAACAATCCGTGCCGTCAGATGGGGAATTGACCCTGGTTTCGCAACCGACATTAGGTTCGGGAGTGACCCGGTTTCTCAAGCGAGGTGTTTCCATTCACCACTTTGGAGCACCAAGGCTCCGCGCTCGCTATGTCTTTTGGTGAAGCGGTGAGGCGGTACTGCCCCGTTTTCACTAGCAAGGAGGCTGAGGAGGCAACTGGGATTACCAGTTGTTCCGGCAGGCGCCAAAGTTTGGCATCAAATTTATCACCCTGTTCGGGCGGTGGCTTGGCGCCTATCTCTGCCCGTGCGCCGACTTGCTTTGAGCCAGGCCCAGTCACACCGTACTTGCTTTTAGATGTATTCTCCGAGTTCGCGAGTGTGTCTGCTGTGGGGTGAGAGTTGTCACCTTTTTGGGAGGAGTTAAATTTTGGGTTACTGAAGTTGTCAGTAAACCTGACGGGCGCCACGGTTTTTCAGGCGTATGTTTACTCCTTTCCTTGCCCCTGCTTCAGCCGGCATTTGAGCCGGCCCCGGTCACACCTAACTCAGTTTCGGGTTCGATTCTTGAGTCTTGGGGTGTTGCTTCTCCGGCATCGGTTAGACCTTTTAGGCCCGGATTGCCTGGTGCTGCTGTTGGCTTGTCGCCATGTGCCGTCTGCCCTTGTTTGGGGTTAAGCCTCCAGCTGTTTTTAGTGCTCCTCCGGGAGCAGCTACTATCGGCACCTTGCCCCATTTTGGGGGGTTGGTCCCCCCAGTCCATCAGTCTGACTTGGACTCCGTTCCGCGGTTTTCTTCGTATATGTCTCGGGTTCTAAGTTGAGTTGCCCCCGGTCACACAGTGGCTTCTAGCACAAAGCTTTGCAGCCTAAGGTGCGGTGTAGCTTGGTAGTGATGACCATGCTGGGCCTGTAGCTGAACATTCCAGCTTTAATAAGGCTTTTGAGCAGGCTTCATCGCCCGACGTTTCAACGATGTCGAGTCTCCAATTGTGGCTTCGGCTGAGAAGTCCATCGGCCACCCAGGGGGCTTTGCCCCTGCCCCTGGGGTATCTTGACTGGACTTGATAGCACTTTTCTGGTGTTTCCGGGTCCCGGTTTGTTTCGGGATCTGTCTTGCTAAGCTCGGCTTCTGAGAAGCTCTGTGCTGTGGTTAGTCTTTTTCGGGGTCTTTGCCCGTTGTTGGTGGCAGGACTCCCACTGTCCACTACCCTCGCTACTCCTCCGTAAGAGGAGTCGGTAGGTGGATGGGTTTTCTCCTTGCCCCTCTTGGGTTTTAGGGTTTTTCCTTGATAGCGTTCAGCTGTTTCATATCACGCGGGAGCCCGTCTCACCTGCCTCGAAGGGATCTATCTCTGGATGGATTGTTGAGGCGGTTCAAACTGGGGGTCCTGATGGTGTGTGTCCTTGTGTGTGGGTCGGCATCTTTTTGCCTGGTCCCCCACTAACCTGTTTTTGGGACCCCGCTAACTTGTTGTTTGGGACATGCCCCCCGCTTCATCTGTGTTGGTCTAAGCAATAATAGGTAGATACATATGATTTATTGTGGTTAATTATTAGTTAAATCAGAACTGATTTTATTATTTACTACATAAATCTATGTATCTACCTATGTCCCTCCCTCCGTCCCCTCTCCTTGTTGTATCTGGGACTGCTTTAAGAGAGGAAGTTGCATGCGGGAGTGGTGCGCACGTGACTGGTGGTATAGTGGGGTCTTAGGGTGGGGTATGCACAACTGTGACTTGTTTTATTTTGATGACTGCTTTGTCTGGAGGACTATGCAATGATAGGTAGATACATAGATTTATATAGTAAATAATAAAATCAATTCTGATTTAACTAATTTTGGGGTTTTCTCCTTCTGACACATCTCCAAGCGTGTAATGGATTTGCAAAGTGCGAGAGTGATACCTCCCTTTTTTTTTTTGCTCTGAAGAAGGGGGATATGAAACCAGGAAGGCAGAATTTAGAGAATGGATCAAAAGTGTATAAGTTAAAGTGAAATCTTCATGAATTTATTTTGTGTAGAATGTATCTAAATTATTCAGAGCTGTTGTTATGCTGAGTTGTTGTACTTGCTTTATACATACCTATTAGTTAAAACCAAAGTTATGTACTAGACAATTGCTTCATTTTAGAAAGTGCCGCAATGGCAAGAATACCATGACTATACCATACACTTTACAATATTGAGTAGATAATTATGTGTTGTGGTGGATATAAGTCAATGGACCAGGATCACATGGTTTAGTGTATACTTGGCCCGTATCCCTGTCAATGTACTTAACATTGTCACTTTCGGCATAGATAATTAAGGTACCTGATAGGAAGAAATTCCTTTAATGCCAGATCGAGTGCCTCAATTATACCACGGTAGCTTGGCTAAAGCCAGGGTAATAATGTAACTATGTTTTTTAAGCAAAGTAGATTATACATGTACATGTTTATTGGCTGTGCTATATCAGTGCATCTATAATTATTATAATTTAAGTATGTTTTTCTTTTTGTATTTAAAACAAACAAATCTTAATCTGTAGGAGAGGAAGGAGAAGAAGTGAAGTTCAGTCACCGAGCCAAGTTGTACCGTTACGATGGTGATGCAAAGGCATGGAAGGAGAGAGGTATAGGAGACATCAAGGTCCTCTACAACGCTCAAGACCTTGCGTATAGGATCATTATGAGGAGAGAACAGGTTAGAACAAAAACATTGACCTCATCAAAAAATAAGTAACCTTAGCCATTCAACTTTTTATAACACACATTTTTGTGTGGTCTGTATGTCCTAAAGGAAACCCCATCCCATAGAATAAGTGTAGGTTTTGTGGGAAATGAGATGTATTCCTGCCCTTTGCTGTACACTATTCCTAATTACCAAAGTGCACAAGGATTATATAAATAATATATATTCTTGAATATAGAAATATATAAATAATAAATATTCTTGGCATGATGTAATGCCATTTAGCATGACATGGGCGCAGCCATTTTCTTGGTGGGTGACATAGCAGGCGAAATTGTTCATGTATCATGCACCAAGCTTTAGTTCAGAAAGATTTTTTAATTCAATAACAAAAAAATTCCTTCCCCCCCCCTACTGGAATGCTTTTAGTGCCCTCTTGCAACTTGGCTAAAGCAAGGGTTCTACTTATAAAAGGCATTGAGCATCCCTTAGGATGGATATGTGCACGATATATAAGATGTACATGCAGGTGTTATTGCCACTAAGTTCTTTTTTTTTCACAGTCATCAGCCAGTCTTGCAGCAAGGCTTGCTAATAAACCTGGTTCATGGGACTGCGATGCCTGTTACTCTAACAATGCAGCTGAGTCTCCTGCCTGTGTTGCATGTACTGCACCCAAACCAGGCGCCAAGGCGGTGCCTTCCTCTGGTGCTAAGGGTGCCACTGCCGGTGCTCCTAAGGCAAGTTCTACACTTGCAGCAAAGTTTGCCAATAAGCCTGGGTCATGGGACTGTGACGCCTGTTACACTAACAATAAAGTGGAGTCTTCTGCATGCGCTGCATGTACAGCACCAAAGCCAGGTACAGATCCCAAACCATCTACCGGCGCTGGTGCCAGTACAGGTGCCGTCGGTGGTGCCTTTGCTTCTCCATCGGGTTTAACCTTCGGTGCTAAGCTGAGTGGTGCAAGTACCAGATTCGGTTTTGGAAGTCCTCCAACCGCCGGAAGTACCGCTGGTAGTGGTGTCGCCTTCAAGGTACCTGCTGGGTTCAGCTTGTCTGGAAATTCTTCTGCCCCGAAAGGTGCCACCCCTGACTCAACAACCACTGATGGTGCTGCACCGTCAAGTGTAGCATTCAAGGTTCCTGCAGGATTCAGCCTCTCTTCTCAGCCGACACCTTCAACCACTGATGGTGCTGCACCGTCAAGTGTAGCTTTCAAGGTTCCTGCAGGGTTCAGCCTCTCATCTAAGTCGACACCTTCAACCGGATCCGTCTTTGGAGAAAAGAAGGACGACACCCAGAAGCTGAAAGAGACTGGCGATGCCACTAAGACACCTTCAACAGGCTTCACGTTTTGTGCCGCCGATAGCAATGAGGCGGCACCGTCAACTTCTGCCGGTGCAACCACTCCAGGCGGTACCTTGGTCACACACAAGTTCACCTTTGGTACACACATGCCACAGTTCTCCTTTGGTAGCAAGGACAAATCCAAGTCTGATGCAGGGTTCGCCTTCGGTAAACCAGATGCACCAGACGCTGGTGAAACCAAAGAAGGGTACCTATTCTCAAGTGCCCTCAAGGTGAGTTTATTATCTCAACTATAACATGCAGTTAAAACTCTTAAGCCTGTATTATACGCAAATTTTAACTTGGCGCTGGGCTTAAGCTTTGTTTGAAATCAGGTTTAACAAATTAACGATAAACATAATTTTGAAACCAGGGCCGGGTTTAACTAAATGAGTAGAATGGGGACCTTTGAGTTGAGCTACTAATCTTCTTTCTACCAATTTCATGCCAGTGTTCTTTTCTTTGATTCTTGCCAAATTCCTCTGATTGACACTTCAGGCCATGGGCTCAGATTCAGTGTAAGTTTGTCATCTTCCTGATGCTGAATTTGAGGGTTCAGTGACAAAAATACGTAACTCCTCAATTATACCACGGTAGCTTGGCTAAAGCCAGGGTAATAATGTAACTATGTTTTTTAAGCAAAGTAGATTATACATGTACATGTTTATTGGCTGTGCTATATCAGTGCATCTATAATTATTATAATTTAAGTATGTTTTTCTTTTCGTATTTAAAACAAACAAATCTTAATCTGTAGGAGAGGAAGGAGAAGAAGTGAAGTTCAGTCACCGAGCCAAGTTGTACCGTTACGATGGTGATGCAAAGGCATGGAAGGAAATTGTACATGTATCATGCACCAAGCTTTAGTTCAGAAAGATTTTTTAATTCAATAACAAAACCTTTACTTGTCAATGAGGGAAAATCATAGCTGAAAAAATAAAAATTATATTTGCTGCAAAATATATAACAGGGGAGCAATTGTTATTCATTTATTTTAAAATACTAAAATATAGCAGTTGACATATCTATTTCATTTTCAGCGAGACCTTCACGCATGCACTTACTTATTTATGCAATTTGCGTTCTGACAATTGTAATACAAAAGATGATAGCATGTGAATGAAATACTTCATCACCACACACACACATGGGAAGCAACCATCCATAAATTTCAATGGATTTACTTGATAAACGACTTAAACATAGTACATCACGTTATCAAGAAAATGGTGATGCCCATGCCGTGCTGAGAAACTGTACATTATTCTTGCTTTATACCTCTCTCATACACTTCTGTAGGGAACCTTGTAGATTAATTGGCAAGAATACAATAAAGGTTTAATTTAACATCACACATATTATTCCCACTTTTCTTTAAATGAGTCAGACAGCAGATAGGGTGGAGGAAGGCGGAGGTGGCCTATGTACCCCCCCCCCCCCCCTCTCTGATCTCAACTAAGAAAGGTCTGATTTAAGTGGGAAATCAACTATTATTACTGTGAATATACTTTATGCAAATTAGATGCATTTCTGTATAAAGGATGGCAAAATTTGCCTCTGCATTTTACAGAGATATGTTTACAGTTTGTAGACTAGTGGGAGAGGTTCATATATATGTAACTCAATTTTCTTAAAAGTAATTGAGTATAGCAATTTATCACTCATGTTGCTGCACCATCAGTTAAAACTCAGATGAGTATTTTGGAGGACCAACCAACCAAGTATGAATTAAGTCTCCTGTCCACAGAGTATTGGAAATGTATACCCCCCCACCCCCCCCCCCCCCCCACACACACACACACTTTGTCCATTTCATGAAAACATGTATGGTTGTATTCTAACCACAAAGTATTGAAAATCTGTATAATCACTCCATAATGTCCAGTGCACAGATAAATATTGTTGTATTTTCTCCATCAGGTGTTCAAAGTCTGTGCAAACCACTTCATCACCTCCCACATAGAGCTTTGTCCAAACTCTGGTTCTGACCGGTCATGGGTGTGGTCAGCAATGGACGCTTCAGAAGGAACGGTCCAGAACGAACAACTAGCCGTCCGCTTCAAGACGGCAGACATGGCCAAAGAGTTCAAGGAGGCTGTCGACAAGGCCAAAGAAGATTTAGAGAAGGGTGGAGGAAAGGAAAAGAAGACTGATGGCGCAGGTACATATCTATCTCCAATTTTGATGAAGTCACCAAATGTCATCAAAAAATGCACTGTGTGTTCTTGACAGCCGACATATGCCCCTGTGATATTTACTCTGTGCTCTATTTTTGCCAAACGTATAGGGTTAAACCCGAGTCTCACTGATGAGCCTGACCTGAGTCCGACAACAGACCAAGCAAAAAGTACATTTCCTTGAGGGCATGGCCAAGGAATGGTCAGATTTATTTCCCTTTGGAGTTGGTTCAGGGATGTGACTAGGATATTTGGGTTAGCATTTGGGTTTAACATTGGTTTTAGGGTCGGGTAAAGTGTTGGGCTCTGGAGTAAAGTCAGGGATTCAGTTAGTGAAAGCCGGAATGCTCCCCAGGAAGTGGAGAATATGCATACATTGTGTGCGGGTAAGCCTGAATCCGATGACTGGGGTATAATATATACTGCGCCTAAAAACAAAGTATTAGACGCGTTATAAATGTGATCTATCATTATAAATAGACAGTAGAGCCGTTTTCGCCAGAGCAGGAGTCTTAGAACCTGATTGACATGTGACCGTCTGGACATGCCAGTAAAATAAAATAAATCTTTTTCTCTCAAGAAAGTGTCAGATCAAGTTGATGACGGGCATAACACCATAGCGACGAGCATGCTCACACACGAACTTCAGTGTGGAATAGATGCAAGTGACATCGCTAGGATGCATGTCGATCATTGGGAGAAACATTACTGATGATTTCCCAGGGTGGTCACCATGATGCACTAGCTGCATCAGTTCAGACCATGCCGGTCTTTGTGAGGTGAACATGACAGATGTCTTCCACAGGAGATCAAGGTCTGCTGTTGGGTCCTTTGCCTTCATGTTGACCACCTTCTGGTATGCCAGTGTTGTCGTACCGCAGCTCTCTTCTTTGTGGTAATGGGTAGGAATTTGTCCCACCGTGGAGATATTGCTGGAGGTGACCTGCGCCCTGATGGTAGGTCTGCTGGTCTTTGTGGCTGGGGTTATGGCAGCAATCATCCCCATGCCATGGAATGTATTGTTACCATCCAGGGTACGGATGTTGTGGTCTACATTGTCTGCATCATACTGGACAAACTCCAAACTGAAATCAGGTATGTCTGTTCCATGAGACATCACAGCATTCCGTTCAAAAGTTTGAACTTCCTGATAGGAGCAGCTGAAACCAAGCTTGTGGAGGGAATCAATCAAGAAGCTTGATGGTGCATTTGGATCCCAGTACAATCTGCAGCGGAGCCTGCAGAACTTGAGGTCGGGCTGCTTGCATAACTGTCTGCCCAAATGAGGCCGTCTTCTTGAGCACAGTCTTGCCGGCAAACAATCCTCCCAGCAGTAACCTTAGGCTTTCTGGCAGAAAATTGATGTTTTCCTCCTTCGACAGCATGTCAGGGAACAGCTCATGTGATGTCATGACACTCTTTATGTCATCTCTGATCAGTTTAGCTGCAATTTTGATTATTCTCATCTTCTCTTTTTCAGGATCGGCAGTCTTTGCATGGCCATAGAAATCTTGGAGAACCACCATTTGGGCTTTTTAGTCAGGTTTAGCTTATTGAAATGTATTTCATTGGATTCCTGGCCCTAGAAAATATATGTTTAGCTCTTAAAATCAAATCTCTATGTTATTTAGAAGCGGAGATATGGGAAAATATCTGTTTTATGGCGGCCATTTTGAAAAGGGGAGGGTCACAGAAGGGGAAAAGGGTGCACATTCTGAACCCCTACATGTACATCCATTGTCCTCATGATTCAGACTGAAATTCATGACTATCACCTGGATCCAGAACTCATTTTTACTTGAGAGATAGCCTGCATCATTTCGGAAACATCGTGTCCTTGACAACATACTGCCCCACCCCAAAATTACTTTTGATAGGAGGGGGGCATTTCAGTGGAGGGAGAAGGGGTAGGGAAAGGTTCTGAACTACACCATGCACTATAAGCCGGCAAATTATGTCACTTGGAACAGGTCTGATTTTACGTATTATTTGACCCATATCCTTATTTGACTCTGAAAAACGTTAAATATCAGTTGCTAGGTATATTATTACCATAGCACAGGAACTAAGCGATATTTATCATTAAAATATGATGAAAATGCATCATTTGACATCATACTTCCTATAAAAGTAGTCATCTGCTTGGTGATAGCAATTTCTCGTGATATATTCTATTTCTCACGCCAATATGTTACCGTTGCTAAAGAGAAGGTAGCCCTTAGCAACCAAATATGCCATTTTGGCTCATAACAAAGTGTCAACTTTAGAGTGCTATAACTTTTTAGTTAGAAGAGTAATAGACTTGAAATCTGGATATGATATCAACCAATATGCTGAACAGTTTTTTGGCAAGTTTCAAGTTGGTTAGCATAATAATCAAATGGATATGGAGAAATATAGCATTTTTGGCTTAAAATTGGTAAGCAAATCAACCCGAAACCTATTGAGTGAGGTATAATCTTGTAGGCAATTTAACTGTCTTTCATATGACACCTTACACATGGTGAAATGAGGTGCTGTTAAAAAGTAATCTCCAGAATTGCACAACAGTAGTTATCAAGGCTCAAAATACACGGGGGCGGTGGGCGATTCGCCCCCGTGAGCTTCATAATCGCCTCCGTCAGATTGCTCACTGGGGCGATTGCAAAATTAAAAACCGCCCCAGTGGAATTATATAATAAAGATAATCTTTTCATTTATAACTTTCACACAATATTGAGTTCAACTTTCAAACCTTAAACCAATGAAATTGAATTGTGGAAATTAGGTTAGCGTGCAGTATTTCTCGCTCAAATTTGTCGCTGTCTAGAGGCCGCCATATTGTAAACAAATGAACGCTCTTTCGCCGCAAGATTGCACTATATCTCCCATCTCCACATCTCTATGAAGAGTTTTACAGATACAAACATTCGGCCCCCCCCCCCCCACTCCGAGAACGTAGGGATACCATGCGTGTTACCAACATGTCTGGTAAAGGGGTACTTTTCGTGCGACAAAGTCTGGCCCGAGAAATGTAAAAAAAAGGGGGTGTATTTGACTTTTTCTCTCATCTCTTTGGACTCCTGAGAAATTATTCCGAATTTAGGGGAGTACATTGAGCATTTTTCCGGATTAAGGGACTGAGTGGGGGGGGGGGGCCGAGTACGAACAACGGAAGCTAGCAGTACACTGCGGCCCTCAGCAGTGGCTATACTAGCTGCGCCGGTATAGTATACTGGTGTGCACGCTGCCGCCCCATATCTGCTGGAGCTAGATATAGAGGCGATCGCGCAAGGACCGAAACGTTGTGAAAATCGTGAATCCTCTGAAATCTGGTGATTCCAAAAGACCATCAAATAATAAACCTTGACAGTAAATCAACCGAAAGCTTTATGTAGTAAAAGGAAACCAGTTGCCGAGGAGGCGACTGTATACGGGCTTGTACAAGAAATTTCGTACAGAGGGAGATCTGATCATTAGCTGCATGTTATAACTTGTAAAGTTGTAAAAGGGAAATAATGCCGATAATGATGAAATAGCAAAGATTTTAGGAGTATCATGGGTTGAAATTTGTATTAAAAAAGAGCCCCCATCAGTACTAAAAGAGCCCCCGTGGACCAAAAAATTAATTTGAGCCCTGGTAGTTATACATGGCGGCCATTTTGAAAAATGGCCGCCATGGAAGTTTTCCCCACCAGGATTCCTTAAGACTTTCGATATGTTATACTAAGGACATATTTCTGGGTATAAAACAGTTGGCAGACTTTCGGTTGCAATTAGTGGGAGGTTGACCCCGTTTTTTCCCCGAAATGCCTGGACTAAGTGATCTTGTGTTATTCTTTTCATTTTCAAGTCATCTATGAAATATTAAAATATTAAATCTTTCTTTACCTAAGGGCGCTAGAGCACATTGACTTGTTTTCAAACCTGGGACTTTCAAGTTACAAGACCACTGCTCTACCACTCTTTGATTTGTATATTTTCACTTTTATTTCCTGACCAGACTCTAAAAGTGGCGGGCCGGTAGTCAGATCATGTAATCCTAACCTGTCATCTGCTCTAGCTGAAGCCATCAAGGCATCATCAGAACCAAATGCTGCAACCTCAACCATTCAATCAAGTGAGTCATTCATCCAGAAAAAAAACATGAAATGTTTTTCTGGGTTCAAAGAAAAAAGAAAAAACACTTTGATCTTAGATAACTACAGCAGCTACCCCCTAGGATAAATGTCCGGGGGGTAGTTGTCCTACAGGGTGGTTGTCGCAGGGGGTAGTTGTCCTAGAGGGTGGTTGCCATAGAGGGTGGCTGTCCGGGGGTAGTTGTCCCAGAGGATGGTTGCCGTAGGGGGTAGTTGTCCTAGAGGGTGGTTACCGTAGGGGGTAGTTCTCCTAGAGGGTGGTTGCCGTAGGTGGTAGTTGTCCGGGGGGTAGTTGTCCTAGAGGGTGGTTGCCGTAGGGGGTAGTTGTCAGGGAAGTAGTTGTCCTAGATGGTGGTTGCCGTAGGGGGTAGTTGTCCAGGGGGGAGTTGTCTTAGAGGGTGGGTGCCATAGGGGGTAGTTGTCCGGGGGGTAGTTGTCCTAGAGGGTGGTTGCTGTAGGGGGTAGTTGTCCTAGAGGGTGGTTTTCGTAGGGGGTAGTTGCCCGGGAGGTAGTTGTCCTAGAGAGTAGTTGTCCAGGGGTAGTTGTCGTAGAGGGTGGAGCCGTAGGGGGTAGTTGTCCTAAAGGGTGGTCGCTGTAGGGGGTAGTTGTCCTAGAGGGTGGTTGCCGTAGGGGTGGTTGCCGTAGGGGGTAGTTGTCCTACAGGGTGGTTGCCGTAGGGGGTAGTTGTCCGGGGGGTAGTTGTCCTAGAGGGTGGTTGCCGTAGGGGGTAGTTGTCAGGGAAGTAGTTGTCCTAGAGGGTGGTTGCCGTAGGGGGTAGTTGTCCGGGGGGTAGTTGTCCTAGAGGGTGGTTGCCGTAGGGGGTAGTTTATTTCGTGTATTTCCATTTCCAACAAAATAAATAAAGTACATGGGATTGCATTGTACATAGTAAAACAATGACACTTAACAACATATTTGTAATTGGTCCACAGTGTACAATAGGCATATAAAACAGGTTGGTCATGGAGGGGACTGCTGAAAAGCTAGGCTTGTAGATTGCAGCCCCCTATAACTTATAGTTGCAAAAATAGTATATCAATAATAAATGAATGCACAAATACATAAACCAACTAGAAATGCAATCGTGTCACAACGATGTGCGTGCAATGACGCCGTGTTTCTACGTGTCGAACGAAAGAGCTTCTCTCGGACTATCCAGAGCAATTTGTACGAAGTCTTTAGCTTCTGTAATATTGGAGACAGGTAGGGCGAAAGAAAGGCCTCAATATGACCTTGATGGGATGGTAGTGACTATGCCTACGATGTTTGAAAGAAATTGGGATAGGGGAAAGAACCTAGAAAGGGCTCGCAAGCACTACGTGCAAAAACAAATGGGATTAGTTGCATGTTCGTCATTGCAATCAAGATCGTTCTAGGGGTCAAAAGCGTGAACCCGATTTGCCCCCATAGACAATGCGTGTAATGCATGGGCGGAAAACGTACAGGATCTGTATTATGACCGGAGTTAAATTGTTTTTTCTCTCTCTCTTTATGTCTCTTTATGGGCCGTATATGGTATCATTGGAAAGAGAATTTCATGGTCGTTATTGTAAACTACTCTCTTTTTTTGTATGATAATCCTATCGAAACATGTGATGTAAAATAGATTTAAAGGACAAAATGGCGTCTTAAATGGCCCCCTTGACCAATTTTAAAAATCCGGCCAAGAGGTGCCCTGCGTATTGCATCTCGGAATGTCATTGCAAATTTTCAAGGAAAAAAAAGGATGTTTAGGGGGCGAAAAGTAGTCTGAAAAAATGACGTCATGGCCGATAAGTGTTATAATCGGGCGGAATTCGTATAGTGACCCTTGTTCAAATGCGATTTACTCACAATTTTCTGTGTAAACATATACCATACTTGGTATCATTCGAAAGGGCACTTCATTGCGGTCAGTTTGACACCATTGTCATCTGCACGCAATGTACTGCACGCATTAAAGGCGCTATTATGTAATGCATAGCAAATTCATCATTTTTGGCGATAACTTTGCGCTGACGTTATTAAAATTTACTAAACTTGGCAGACAGTTGTCACATATATGGATACATGTGTCTACCAAGTTTCAACGACGTAGGTATAAAGATCGCCATTTTAGAGCAAGTTGAAGTTATTTCGGAATTTTCTTGAAAATGGCGAATTTGGAGGGCAATTTTCGCAAAGTTGGTCAGTGATAGGGTATATAATTTTGTATATGGCTGGAAAGGGCATATCCTCAGGTATCTAAATCCAAAAAAAGGTACGGGTCTGCCAAGCCATAATGGAGATACGGCCACAGAGAGAAAGCCAATTTCCAGAACTTTAGAGGGCGCTATTTATGTTTTGCAAAGCCATTGGAGCGTGAAATTGGGCATGGCTATCAGCAATTATGAGACAAACATACTGTGAGATTTTAATACAAAACGGACATTATATGAGAAAGTTATGGCAGTTTTAGATTATTTAGGGGTCCATTTCTCAAGAATTTGAGAGATTGTTGACGGAGTCGGTTTCAGATTTGAATTTTGAGTATGAAGATGGCATTTTGAAGGGCAGGTTATACGTAGCAGATTAAAGAACATCTCTTAGACTATCTAGAGAAATTTGTTAGAAGTTTGTAGGATCTAGGATAGTGGAGATAGGAAGGAAGATAGAAAGGCCTTAAAATGGACCAGAAACGGACAAAATGGCGCCTGGACGGTTATGCATGAGTGATTTCGAAAATCGAAAAAGTAGGTGACCTTGATGAGATGCTAGAGACTATGCCTATGAAATTTGAAATGAAAAGGACATGAGGAAAGCACCTAACTAGGAATCACAAGCACCATGTGTAAAACGAATGCGATTTTCTGACGAGGAATATAATTATAAGGAGGAGAATACTAGAAATGCAATCGTGTCACAACGATGTGCGTGCAACGACGCCGTGTTTCTACGTGTCGAACGAAATAGCTTCTCTCGGACTATCCAGAGCAATTTGTACGAAGTCTTTAGCTTCTGTAATATTGGAGACAGGTAGGGCGAAAGAAAGGCCTCAATAGTGACCTTGATGGGATGGTAGTGACTATGCCTACGATGTTTGAAAGAAATTGGGATAGGGGAAAGAACCTAGAAAGGGCTCGCAAGCACTGCGTGCAAAAACAAATGGGATTAGTTGCATGTTCGTCATTGCAATCAAGATCGTTCTAGGGGTCAAAAGCGTGAACCCGATTTGCCCCATAGACAATGCGTGTAATGCATGGGCGGAAAACGTAGAGGATCTGTATTATGACCGGAGTTAAATTGTTTTTTCTCTCTCTCTTTATGTCTCTTTATGGGCCGTATATGGTATCATTGGAAAGAGAATTTCATGGTCGTTATTGTAAACTACTCTCTTTTTTTCTATGATAATCCTATCGAAACATGTGATGTAAAATAGATTTAAAGGACAAAATGGCGTCTTAAATGGCCCCCTTGACCAATTTCAAAAATCCGGCCACGAGGTGCCCTGCGTATTGCATCTCGGAATGTCATTGCAAATTTTCAAGGAAAAAAAAGGATGTTTAGGGGGCGAAAAGTAGTCTGAAAAAAATGACGTCATGGCCGATAAGTGTTATAATCGGGCGGAATTCGTATAGTGACCCTTGTTCAAATGCGATTTACTCACAATTTTCTGTGTAAACATATACCATACTTGGTATCATTCGAAAGGGCACTTCATTGCGGTCAGTTTGACACCATTGTCATCTGCACGCAATGTACTGCACGCATTAAAGGCGCTATTACGTAATGCATAGCAAATTCATCATTTTTGGCGATAACTTTGCGCTGACGTTAGTAAAATTTCCCGAATTTAGCAGACAGTTGTCACGTATATGGATACATGTGTCTGCCAAGTTTCAACGACGTAGGTATAAAGATCGCCATTTTAGAGCAAGTTGAAGTTATTTCGGAATTTTCTTGAAAATGGCGAATTTGGAGGGCAATTTTCGCAAATTTGGTCAGTGATAGGGTATATAATTTTGTATATGGCTGGAAAGGGCATATCCTCAAGTATCTAAATCCAAAAAAGGGTACGGGTCTGCCAAGCCATAATGGAGATACGGCCACAGAGAGAAAGCCAATTTCCAGAACTTTAGAGGGCGCTATTTATGTTTTGCAAAACCATTGGAGCGTGAAATTTGGCAAGGCTATGTGCATTTATGAGATTAAGATACTGTGAGATTTAAATACAAAACGGAATTTATATGAGAAAGTTATGGCAGTTTTAGATTATTTAGGGGTCAATTTCTCAAGAATTTGAGAGATTTTTGACGGAGTCGGTTTCAGATTTGAATTTTAAGTACGAAGATGGCATTTTGAAGGTCAGGTTATACGTCGCAGATGAAAGAACACCTCTTAGACTATCTAGAGGAATTTGTTAGAAGTTTGTAGGATCTAGGATAGTGGAGATAGGAAGGAAGATAGAAAGGCCTTAAAATGGACCAGAAACGGACAAAATGGCGCCTGGACGGTCATGCATAACTGATTTCGAAAATCGAAAAAGTAGGTGACCTTGATGAGATGCTAGAGATGATGCCTACGAAATTTGAAAGGAAAAGGACTTGAGGAAAGTACCTTACTAGGAATCACAAGCACTACGTGCAAAACGAATGGGATTTTTGGACGATAAGGAAAACAAGAATATTAATGGGGCAGAATGTGAACGAAAACAAGGCAATGACGAAGGTTCGTCATTGCAACTAGAAATGCAATCGTGTCACAACGATGTGCGTGCAATGACGCCGTGTTTCTACATGTCGAACGAAAGAGCTTCTCTCGGACTATCCAGAGCAATTTGTACGAAGTCTTTAGCTTCTGTAATATTGGAGACAGGTAGGGCGAAAGAAAGGCCTCAATATGACCTTGATGGGATGGTAGTGACTATGCCTACGATGTTTGAAAGAAATTGGGATAGGGGAAAGAACCTAGAAAGGGCTCGCAAGCACTACGTGCAAAAACAAATGGGATTAGTTGCATGTTC